AGGTCGTCATGTCGTGGCGGAAAGTGTATTATTGACCTACGGTACAGTTAAGGCTACTAGCATGACCTAGACGTCACGCTACCAAGTAAAAATGCAACGGCGGAGATTTAAGCGCCCACGTAACCAAATGCAGTGTGAAATAGCTGGTACTGCTCTAGCTCCTTAGGGTTTTTAATCTACTGGTTAGAGACGGGGACTACCAGTACTGTAGTAACAAGTTTACAGATTGTTTTCGACCCAATTTCTTTATTTATACTCTCTTTAAGTTAGTAAAACTGCTTCTAGTGCAACATGAAAGTACACCTTGTTGATTCAAGGAGAATACGCGCTGAAATGTGGCGGTATTTATTCTACGATTAAAAGCAATACTTCTTGTGCTAAATGAAATGAAAAAATTCAGTCAGTCAGCCCTTAGAGTCCCTTTCCTAGATAATATTATTAGTTCCCCCAATAAAGAAATTAAAAGAGTAAATACGTCTCGTTAATAAATTTTTGCTTTGAACAGTTATTGAAAAAAATAAACCACTTTGTGTTGGTGATGCAGGGAACAAAACCCCAAACGCATGCCATAAAGGCATGATATAGAAGGTGTTTAAAAGTTTTTGCTTACGATTTCACAAATATATGGATGAAATAAGTTTATTTAGTCCGATTTCGAAGGGCTTCGGTGTGTTGTCTCTTGGCCGTTGATGCAAAAGTGCCTTTCCTGATTATTAACAAGCAAAAAATTGCTCTCACTTCCCTTCAAATGCTAAAACACCAACGTAACCAATAAACTACTGAATAGGCGGCCGGATGATTGAGTGGGTGGATGAATAAAAAATTGCGTGGGTGAATTATCGGTGAAGAAACGGATAGATGAACAGGCAACTGAGTGCTTGAATAAATAAAGGAATAAATCGAGTCTTCCTTAAGGCCGCAGGAATTCACAGCAGCATGGCAGAAAATGACTGAGAGGCTACTGGCCTGCTCCCGAGCGGAGGCACCAGCTGTCTGGCCTTAAGCATTCACGTAACAAAGCGCAGAGTTAAGCAAGCTGTCAAAGCATTACAGGGTAAATGGATACAAATGAGAGAATGGGTGCATAAGCGAACCCCGAGCAGATGAATGTAAAACAGAGATGCATCTACAAACGAGCAACCTTGGAAAGTATATCCCCACCCCTCCAAAATACTATTGATGGCAATTAAATAAAATATTTTTGCTTCTTTGGACGCTTTCACAACAGCAAGGCCCAATGCAAATGAGCGAATGAGTAAATAATTCATTCGCACTTAATGGTCCTCCCGAACTCAACGCTCGTCTCTTCTTCCTCCATTTCGTCACCATGGCGACACCCGAGTTTAGAGGTCTTGCCGTGGCCTCTGTTGCATTGCACGCGAGACGGGAGAGGGGATTTGCGCGACTGATTTTTACCTTTGGAAGTAGAAGTTGGAGGAGGTGATACTACTAATCTCTCCTCTTGCATTTACCCTAGTCCTCTGGCTTAACCTCATATCGCGCTTGAAAGTGAGACAGGGCAAGCAGATGCCCCCTTACCCCACTTCTATTCTTATCTTTATTCCCGCCCTCGCTTTCCCCATTCTCCTGACGATACTCCCAAACGCCACAAATGATGAACATCACCTCTACCTGCCATGAGCATTTGGCCACCACATCATGCTTAAAGTAGAGTTGATGGTTGGAAAGTAGAGGTAGTGTAGAAATGGAGATAGCTAGTATTGAATCTTGTCTAGATTTCCAGAGACAGAGGGACTCTGGTTAAAGTGGTATCGGCAGCAGCTGTAATCTTGCTTAGAGGGGATGATGGACTTTAATGTCGACTGTCTCAACATGTTTTTGATAGTATATCCGACCTTATTTTTTATGCTAAATTGTGAACCGAGTGGGAATTAGCAAAGCAGATATTTTAAGCCATTATGCTATGCCATAATATTACTTAAGTCTGTAATTCTATGCCATCAATTAACTAAATATTACTCTAAAATAAGATATTTAAAATCAGGTTAAAAACAACTCAAAAGTTTTCATTTTGAGTTCACCTCACATTCTAAGGCCACAGACCTCGCCAATTTGGGGTGTGCTAGAGCGAGCTAGAGAGGTGACGTTGACATCTACGCAGTTTCTGTGAGGACACGCAACTCTCAATTGTCTATTACTCATCTCCAGCCCAATCTGATAACTTCGCAAATCCTCCTCCACTATTGTGCGTCTAAAGGAGAAGGAAAAGGAGAGCATCCAATTAGCTAAATTGTTGTTGGCAGGTGAGAAGTGAGGTCATCGCAGACAAAATAATGTTGAGGAAATTCCTTACCCCCAGTCTCTTGAAGGGAGATAAGATGTTGACCCAGCATATCGCATTGTGGGGTATCCAGCGGTAACTTAAGTGTTTCTAAGACAAGTTTTCTTGTGACATGTATTTAAGGAGAAGAAGGTTTCGAATTGGACTATCTGGTGCCCTAAAGTGCAAAGAATTCGCGCTTCAATTACTAGATTTTTGCCAGAACGCTTTTCATTTACAAACAACCTATCGAAGTGTCAAAATGCTTGTAGGTTTCATATTTGACAAACCACGATTATGAGTGCGCTGTTTTCGATGTTTGTGCTTCGTTGTTCTAGAAGTCTCCATTAGCTACCTTCAAACAATTCATTTAAATTTCGCGTTCTAACTGATTTTCCCCTAAATGGACGATAACAAGAGGTGAAACGGTACAAGGTCAAGGTCGCTCAACAAGGCATAAAAACGCAGGAATGGTGACCTTTAGTGTGCGCACGCCCCGCTCCAAATGCATTTGGGTTGTTGAAGCATTCTACGGTGCTCTCACCAATACAGCGCCAGATTAGCCCTGAGGACTCGACTAAGCGTGAGTCTGGAAGCGCTGAGGGCGGACGGGAGGCCGGTCGTGTAGGTGAAATGGGCAGAACCCCGACATTCCCATCGTGGGGCAATCAATTTGGAGGACCGAATGATATTTCGGGTCAAATCTGGTGTTAAAGTAGTACAGCTGCATCCTTGGGAATAACTCAAACAGCAAACTTTGAAGATGTGCCGAAATTTAAGCCATTTGGTGAGTTATTCAAGTCCAAAATGCCTAAGAATATTACTTACAGGCTGAGCATTGGCATTTCAGCCAAAGGGATGCTGCCGCGAGGGGCGGTGGAATGTGAGTGATAGCAGCGCAGACTAGGGCTGGCGGAAGATTTCAAAACGCCTCCTCGGTGGGGCGTTTTACGCCAGAAACTACACGCCACAGCGCAATATTTAATGCTATCACGCACAACTACTCTCAAAAGGCAAGAAACGAAAAGGGAAGGGCAAACTTGCGGCACGATGCAACGCGCCACGAAATTGATTGGACCGATTGATTTATATGTACAATCGAGCCTTCAAAGGCTGCTTCCTGCGAGAACGAACGAGCACAAGTGCGTGTAATTTTAAATGAAATTTATGATCGGCCTCTCTCACTCTCTCCCCCTTCAAAACATGCATGCATGCAACCGAGCAACCAGCCAGGAGGACACGGAATCACGCAAAAAACGGGCACAAAGTGTGTGTAAACTAGAGTGGCGGCTCACCCAACTTCCACTCTCAGAAGCTTGTTCTCCTCCCATTATCACACTTTAAGTGAAATTCAACGCGCGTTATTCGCCCATGAAAGCTGGGTCTTCTAGTGTCCCAATTTCAAAGAATAAATGAGGCACAGTTGAATTCCTTCTATCACACTTTCTTGTTAATATCCATTCATTTCATTCATGAAAATCCGCATGTTTTCTTAAGCATGTTTTAGGATCGATTCCTTGCTTGGAGAAGGACTTATATACCATACAGTAGTATTTGTTAGCAAAGACTTCACCTACAAAAAACCTACCTTTCTTGCACCATAAAATATTGTCATTGCTATAGTTTTTGACTTCTGTGTTCGACGAAACCCTAGAACTATTCTAGGACTTAAGTTTTCATAAGCATCCCAATAACAAATGTACAGGAAGGCTGGAAAATTGTGACCATTGAGCTATGCTACCGGAAGAATAGCGAAAACGCGGGAGACCAAACGGGCCCGTGCAGCTTTAACTATCAAAAGATCCTATCCACCCCGTGACTGTTGAATTTTCAAGGCATGCATGGGGATTCATTTCAAAATCCTTGAAAATTCCTGCGAGGTGCATTAATTCGAAGACTAGGCAACCTACAACCACTTCAATAGAACCGCCACCAAAGAAGAACACGGTGCGACCAAGCCTTTCTGGGAAAAAAGAATGAGCACCCTGGGTGTCACGGAATGCTGAGGGCTATTTTGCATTCATCTTCTTATACTTGCTTTTGATGTTTACGATTATGAAGATGCCAACGGTGGTTAGGCATTAGAGCTTGCGGTAAGCCTCTTCCTCCACTCCCTACTCCATCGTCGCAATGACTGCAAGTCACGCAATAGAGGTTGCGTGTCAGACATACACAGGAGGTGAGAGATAGAGACTCGGTCTTTTTCTCGCCCCTTTAAATATCATCATCTTCACTATAAACCCAACACTTTACCTTCATTAACAACAACTCCAAAAAATTACCAAGTGTTAAACATGGCGGTATATTACCTTAAGGAAGAGATTATCTTCATCCGGAATTACTTCTTCCTAGGTTAAGGAATACTGTCTCATACCAGCTCCAGGACACCAAGACAGGAACAAAAAGAAATTCACCGTGATGGAAAACCAATCACCATCTTAATAGCCGATATTAAGTTTTATACCTAATCGAAAAAATGGGCAAATATACTACCAAACAACTTGAAAATAAAACAATTCCAATTTGCAAGAACTTAGTGATCAAACTGAAACCAGTTTTACAAAAAAAATAATTTAAACGTCAGCCGTAAGTGAACCCGAGCAGTATTGACTAACCAATCAGGCGAAGCAGACCAGACAGCCAATCTAAAGAGTGGAAGCACTTGCGACCACTCTGCAGCCACCATCTCGAGTCATTTGCTTCGCAATCCGCCCAACTGATGACAGGGGAAAGACAACCATCCTCGACCGCATTGCTGAAAGTGGAAAACCAGATTCGTATTTACTGCTTTCTCTGTGAACTACCACGAAGCCCCTGGGCACTTGTCTTCGATTTCTCCGTCCCTGTCTGTCGAGGCTGCGTAAACTATGAGGGTGCTGATCGAATTGAACAGGTCATTCGATGGGTGGGAGCACAAAAACATGCTCTTTTACGAAGCGAAGAAAAGTCAAAGGGCATGAAGGCCCAACCTTTTCTGTCAAACCATTATCCAGCTATTATTGCGCTCTATATGGAGGCTATGAGATTTCTACAACAAAATCAGATTAATAACAACCATCAGCAGAGACAACAACAAAAGCGCAATAATCAGCGAGAGTTCAAATTTCCTGCTCCAGTTCGATCAATAGGTCAGTCTTCATTAAGGTCAGCATTATGTGTGGGTCTTTCCCACGACACTACCTGCTCCGTCCGAGATCGGCTCTTTTTCGAGTACCCTGCGGCTTCAGGCAAGCTGATAAGAGGTGTGTCCAAGTTGCTGGAGAGGATGGATGCAACGGAAGCGGAGATGGAGATCGAGGCTCAACGGGGATGTTGGTGCAAGCTAGAAGAAGCGGTATCGTACCTCCAAGACGAGTGGATTCAAGCCCATTGTTTAACTTGCGGTACCGCGTTGGAAGGAAGCCATTTCGTCCAATGTCCGGTGCGTTCGCAGCACCGATTTTGTTTTGCCTGTGCCAAGGCTGCTTTATTGGGTGCAGAGGAGAAAAACAATAGAAAGGAGGAGAAAACGAAGGAAAAACGTAGACTCTTCCATTGCCCTAGTGGAGAGATGTGTGCACTACCGGAGAGCCCCGGTGTCCCATGGAGCTTTGTGGAATCGGAGATCGCAGTGATTCTAGGGAGTGCTGGAGTGAGCGCTAGTTGTGGCAGTGTTGGCAGGAGGCGTCATGCAACAATGTTGCTGAATTTGAAGCAGCATCAGCATCAGTCACGGAGACAAACTTCGGGAGCAAAGCTGAGAAGGATTGAATCACCCAATGCGCCGGCGATTGCGTGATTGACTTGGGCCTATGCAATGTATATTTTGACAGACATCTTAAAAATACCTCTTTTTTCACCCTATCTGAGAAACGTTTTTTAATGATAGAGTAACATGCTTGCTATCGGCGTCACATGTAAGCGACGCCCCGATCTTCTTGTCTGGGCTCCTAGGTCAAAAATGCAAGATATTTAAGCGAAGAGAAACAAACTGGAGAGGAGAGAACAGGAGAGGATTTGACACTCCATAAGACCATTAAAAAGTTTACTCGTAGTAATTAATCAGCTTGTGAGGCCCTGGTAAGGAAGGCAAGTACTTAACGTCATGGTTTCTCCAATTTACACGGTTCTGAACCCATCTTCGTGCCATAGCTTCTGGTCAACTAGTCCTATTCCATACAATAACAAGATTTTTCTCCACACTAGTACGTGACTTACCACATCTTCGGGAAAGTTTTGAGGAACTACAAGCACCAGGCAAATCACAGCGCCTGGAAAAGGTGCATTCACGGAAACCGTTGTAAGACGCAAGGTCTACAAAACTTGAACGACCTCCAGAGGGATCGTTTGTTGAGGTACTTACCCAGTAGGCAGAATACCAACGTAGGTCTTCAAACTAGTTAAAGGAAGTTTTAACACAGAACACTGTCACGTAATCATTCAAGGGGTTAAGAACACCCTTACTCCATTTGCTAACTGAAAACGTCATTTTCCTAGGTTTATAAAATCTAGGCAACAGTCTTGTCGAATACAAAAAACAGCAAACGATTACCATTTTGCTGCAAAAAATTGCCATTTTCTTGAAAGTATGCACGTGATACCAATACACCATTTCCAAGTTACAATAATATAACGAAGTAAAAAAAAGGAGTAAAGGAGAGTGAGTAGGCTTTCGTAAGAGATGTGTGGAGAGGGAGCAAGAAATAAAGAGACTAAAGGGTCAAAAAGTATTAAGGTCAATCCAAGTGACAAGTCGACCTTGTGAATTGGTGAATGAACACAATGTACAGGAGAAAGCAATACTTGTGCTACTAACACCAAAATCAGTAGCAATGATACAGACAGCATCACGTAGAGTCGGGATTAGAGGGGGTACCCCAGATAGTCGACAACGTAGTGGTGGTGGAAGAAGATAGGAGACGCGCACGCTCCTGCTCCATAGCTCTATTAAAGGATCTGCAAGAGAAAGAATAAATCCTAAATCTATTATAGATTCGACACCTCCAAAACGCCTCGAGGTTTAACGTACAGAGCCACGTCCACAAAGCCTGAGGTATCGGGCGTAGTAAGGCACTTCCACCGTCCGCTGGCGGCGTGGACGTTGGCTACTTCAACAAGGGTCTTCACTGCCTCGGGCCGTGGAGCCCGAGCGAGTTCGGAGGGTGCAACCCAAGCCTTGGCGGCGGTGATGCAGTCATCCAGACTGGCGAGACGCTGAAGGCAACTACCACAGGGATTGACATCAAACACGGCGGGTGGTGGATTTGGGAGAAGGAGGGCATTCAGACAAGTGGTGACACAGTCGGCTGTTACCGAGGCAACGTAGCCACCTTCAAGAACCAGACCAACTCTTCCCCCAGCTAGAGACATGCACTGAAAGGCAGAAAGAATGTTTGTTCATCTGAATCGCATTTTTTTGTAATAAGCTAGGGCTTCCATGTGAGAAACTTTAAGATTCGACGAAGATATCAGGTTCCCATCTGGCTGATAGCATTTAGTCGTGGAACTGGGTTCAGGATGGTGGATGGATCCAGCAAGAGTTAAACAAACATTACCTGCCGCGTCATCCACGCGAAAGCTCCGGGAGATATTTCATACCCACCCAGAGCACTCCCATGCCCAGCTGCTGCGTCGAACCCTGCAGAGACCAGAACCACATCTGGTGCAAACTCAGTGGCCAAAGGGAGCACAAGACTACGAAAGGCAGCCAGATACTCCGAGTCAGAGAGTCCCACTGTTCCTGACGTCTCTCCACCACTGCCTCCGCTACCCGAACATCGAGCCAGCCCCACATCCAGCGAACCAGCGGAGGAGGAGGCGGGTGAAGAGGTGCAGCTCTGCGCTATTCCGCCAACCATTGTAGGGGCGCAGTCCTCCAGCACCCCACTATCATTTGACGAGGCAGCCTTTGTGATCTTTGTTTGACGCCAAGATTCACGACGAACCGAAGCGACAGGGCTAATATCAGTGCATCCCCAAGGAATGTTGACGGTGTAACCACTCTGACAGTGACGCTGGAAGGAGCCCGTACCAGGAAAGAAGGTGCCTTGATCATAGCGGTGCAGAGAGATGTAGAGCAGACCGGGGTGTTTGTCTGCGGCGAACTGCGTCCCGTTGCCATGGTGAATGTCCCAATCGACGATGAGGACTCGATTAGCCAACCCACTCTGCAGGACCGAGAGCGCAGCGATGGCTACAGAGTTGAAGTAACAGAAACCCATTGCCTGATCGGGCTCCGCGTGATGGCCAGGAGGGTGAACCAGAGCGAAGCCGTTTCTAAGACGACCGCAAGCGAGACTATGGGAAGATGGGCGCAAGTTCGTTAGAAAGTGAATCAAAGTTGAAAAAGTAGTGTGAACGAGACTAACTTGTGGGCAAGACAGAGAACCTGCCCAACAGCAAGCCGAGCAGACCTAGAGGTAGTCTCAGGATTCCAGACGGTGTCCGAGTCGACACCCATGCCACCACAATGGAGAGTGGCCAAAGAGGAGGTAGCCAATTTTCTGTCTCCTTTCTTAACTGACGTCTCCGCGTCCATGACGAGTTCTGTCATGCTCCCAAGGCCCTCTATCTCCGCCCTCTCGTCTCCCCCATAGTCGGAAGAGGAATCAGGACAGTAGCGAGCGATGTGTTCGGAAGTGTGGAAGAGGGCCAATTCCTCCTGCAAAAGTGGATAGAGCTCTCTCAGCAGTGAAACAAAAAAACCGAGTGTTCTAGAGAGCGAACTTTAGCCTGATATAGTTATAGCTGCGCATATGAATGGAATGTCTATAGGAGAACCCTTAGGAAAGCACGCACGTGGTTAAGAAGGGGTCCTTGCAAATAACTGAATAAAAAGCTTGCCTCCAAGTGGTTTTGGATAACAAATGGGCACCTGTGGATATCCAAATTAATGCCTAGATAAAAGCAGTTTGATTACACTTGCTGAGAAGATCCAGTGATGTACTTTTTGCAGGCCTGTCATGAGAATTCCTGTACAACTGACTACCAACCCATTAATACCACCGGGAGCTCTTTACGTCGATGTACACCAGTGTTGCTACTCTGAGGAAAAAGAGCTTCCTAAGGCAGCAGTAAGCAGGATTGGAGAATTGAAGATGGATAACGAAGGGCCTCAAAGGCAAACTTCAATCGCCAAAGCAAGAGAGACTATTACCCAACTTATTTTCATTTGTGCTTTGCACCAGTCCAACTCGATGTGGCTGTTTAACAGCTACGTCCCTCCATCCGTTATTGCCATCACATGACGCTGGCACCAACACTACCGCTGCACGCACCTTGGCACGGTTCAGCTCAATTCAGCCCGTCTCTTAGCAATGGCAAGTTATTTGCGCCACCGAATTTTCAGGCGGCTTTTAAAGTATTGTCTTTAACGGCGACTAGGAAAAGAGTTCGTTGTGTTTCCAACACCTGCTCCCAAGTGGAGATTTGAAACAAGAATAATAAAAATGATGAAAATGAAGTTCGCCTCTGTAAAGCGAAGCTGGCCTGGATTCGGTGTACTCCTAAGAGGCTAGCGAAATAATATTCACCAGCGAAATCGTGGGGATTGTGCGTGTGCGACTGACTGCTAGTGATGCCCTACAGCAAAAATTTGGCAAACACCTCACCAGACTTTGACACCCAAACACAAGGAAGTCACCACCTTACACTTTTCGCCCTCACTTCCTTCGACTTGGAGCGGTTCGCTCTGGACGAGTGGTGAGTGGACGAGCATGCTGCTTCTTCTACCTGACTGTAGATGCCACAGAACCTTCCCATCTGCCAATTATACTACTCTATTAAGTACCAAGCCCCTGGTTTCCTTAAAGAGTGGTGTTTTGAGACAAGTCCTTATCCCACATTAGCCATTTTTGACTTGACCGACTGTAAAGGGAATAATTAAATAAAATGTGGTTTTGACTTTGAACATTCCAAATTGGAGACTTGGAAGGCCAGAACCCGAAGTGAACAATGCTGCATGGATTATTTGATCAATGAAAATTAATCGAGAGGATGGCATAAGAGATCGTTGGGTTTGATTCAAAATGTCTAAAGAACTCCCGTCATCCCTTGGAGGGACTTCGTTTATCAACTTCTAACGGTTTATTTTGGTCCCGTGAGATACCTGAGTTCAAAACAAAAGTCAGGTCACTAGAAGTGGAATCCCCAAAATTCATCACTGATAATACGTGACAAACTTCTGTGGTGAAAAAACGTGCCGAATTTTTGGGTGTAGGTATCTAACCCCCATTAAATGCGAGTTCAATTTCCCTGAAAATTTTCCGTGAAATTACCAGTGCCATAAATACTTTCAGTTGGTATTAATCAAGTTAGCTCATAAAATAATTTGACAAGTGGACCCCTGAAATACAGCTGAAGGTAACTACGCATCCATCTAGCACAAACAAAATTCCAACAACGCTGAGAAAACTAGCTAACTAGTTCTAATCGTCCTACAGGGCAGTACTTGGTTCACCACACTTCCCCAGTGAGGGAATTGAACTGACATTTGGAACCCTGCGCTGCTCACACCTAATGTCATTCAGCTAGGCTGCTAAAAGGCTGTCATTTTCACCGTATCTCATCATCAGTTTAAGTGGAGACAGCAAGACTGCAAAGTTTGATCAAGTGGCTGGAAACCCATCAAAGTAGCATGACGAACTCTTGACTAAACACCAAGACGTTACGTGAATGGGGGCAGGGGTGAGCACGTGCCTCCTCTCTCTGTTTGCCACAAAAAAAGAACTTCACTGCAGTTTGTCTTGGCGTAAACAGACCACGTTTAGTTAGTGGTGCTGCATGGTGGTAGTTTAAAACAGCCCATCCCAGAATTTGCGGTGGTGGCAAACGTGTGCTCCTCCTCCCCCCGCCCACCCATTTAGTCCCAGACTCACCTTCGAGACTCTAGGTTACTTACGTCTTCACTTCGAAGAGAGGAAAAGAGCCAAAACATAGGTTGCAGAAAAATCTACCATCCCAAAAGAGCATTATCACCCTCAGTACATTAAAATGTACCTATGGGCAGCTATAGGTCACGTGGATTTGATTACGCAATTAACCTCCGCAAAGAGAAAGTCAGTTCCGATGAAATCAGGCAATATAAGAAAGCGAAAAACTAAAGGTTGCTGTTTAGGTACATCCACCACAAGGCATCATTACCAGAAAGAGGGGTACGTCGAATGAACAACGGGGGGTTCGCCCGCACACAAAGTAAAAATTCACACTTCCTGCTCCAAATCTACGCTTGGGAAACACAAGTAACACTTTTCCTAGTCGCCGTTACACTCCATATTTCAAAAGCCGCATATAAATTTTATGGCGTAATTAACTCATCCTAGCCAAGAGAATGTAGTGAGCTGAGCTGAGCTGAGCCGAGCCGAGCCAAGCCGCGAGTAGCAGTGGTGATGGTGACGCCATCATGTGATGGTAACAAGGGGTGAAGGGATGCAATTTTTAAGGAATCAATCACGTCGAGTTTGGGTGATTCTAAGCGAAAATGAGGAAAACAGGTTGGGCAATAATATGCCTTTTGTTGTGGCAATTACAGCTGCTCTTCGAGGTCCTACCTTATCCACTCAATTAACCGATCTCATTTATTGCTACCGCAGAAAGTCTGTTTGGAGGGTTATTTGAGGGCCATCGATAAGGAGAGATTTCGGTGCTATTAATTGATTGTTAGTTAGTCGTATAAATTTGCATGACAGGGATGATGAAGGAATAGGCACATACTCTAGTGGCCATGCGTGCACGCATCCAATGACAGAAGAAGGCCAGAGGGAGGTCCTCCGACAGTGCTAAATGAGCTTCTTGGTTAGGAGTGGCGGTGACAGAGGTGGAGGAGAGCAAACTGCGGGGTATCTGGAGTCGCGAGCTGGCAATCCGCTCGAGGACAGAGATGATCCGCAGTGGGTGCTCTGGATGCACCTGGGGGTTATTCCCATGAGGGCAGAGGCAGACATGGGACAACATAGCCGGGTCGAAGAGGAGAGCTGTCCTGTGGGCAAGAATAGGTGTGTACGTGTGTTGAACGATATTTATTTAGTCTTATCAGTCTCATACTCTTCCTAAGGTCTGTAGGATAATTAAAAAAACTTTTAGATAACATTAGAGACTAATGAATGTCAAATATCAGATATTCGACCAACATCTGTACTAAGCACATTGCTCCGTTGGTATTTGATCACAAATGAGCCACCCGTCCAATTGAAGACCACAACAGAGATCATAGTGATGAGTGATGTGGATGATGGCCTTAAAGCAGGTGAGATTGATGAAGTGGTTGTTAGTAGCGAGATAAAACGTGGTAATTACTCCAACAGTACCGATTAATCAGGAGTCCTCAATGTCGTAGCATATCGATGTCGTGAAAAACATCTTGATACCTCAATATCGCAAAAAATTCTATGGAATAAAGCAGTTAAATGAATTCATGACGTTGATAACCAAATTACGCAGATCAAATGGAAATTTCAGGTCAAAAACGGCCACGCACCTGCCGTATTCATTAAAAGCATCAAGTACGACTAGATTTATTTAACTTTCAGCAACTGGACCACTCTAAATATAGAAAGTCATTCCATTCCAATTTTTAAGTACGACAAAAGTGGGGCATGTAAAACCACCTTAGTAGATAAATCTCACACTCCTAAAACTAATCAAATGTGACTAAATTTGAGAAGTTTTGGTAAATCTCTTTACCGATATTTTGCTATGGAGGAAAAACGAGCACTGAATCGACTCTGCCATTGCAACTCAACAAGCACACAACGATGAAAGCAGTAATTGACAGCCATTGATCAAAGGAGTATTCAGTCGCGTGTAAGCCTAGCTTGCTTGTGTGAAGTGGTCTTGACTAGCGGCGTATTGCGATTTGCTGTCACAGTTCTACCGTTTCCGGTAAGCAACCGAGAGTTGGCGCAAATTCCGACAACGAACGAGGCGGCTGATAGATGAAAGGATAACTTTGTCACGCCTGCCAGTAGTGTGACGCCGTGATCAAGCGCACGTGTTTCACTCAAGAAACTAACGAGCTGAGATTAAATTACTTGGACCGAGATGAGTGACCTGTGAGTTCTTACCACGATTTTTGACTGGATTCAAATTCTCTATTAGCTAATAGAGGGACCAAAAGACCAATCTGGCAAGCCCGTTTCAAGTGTTTACATTCCATAGAACCTCATGCAATAAATTTTTTGTTACATTGTCTACGTCTCAAGTGCTTCGTTTACTTCGAAGGACAATGAAAGCAAACCACAGTGTGTTTTTGGGATAGCATGATACCAACTAATGAACTAAAAGCAGATGACCTCTCCACCCTCCCAACCGATAGGGAACGAGACAAACTGGCCTCAAATGCCCGGCTCTCGAGTTTCAAAGAAGGATCCAATCAACTTGGTGTTTAGTGTCTCGTCAGTCCTCCATTCAGCAGCTCAAATTTCAAAGTGTATGTTTCCGTTTCAGTCCATAACTATCCATCAATTCGATAGTAGCATCGGTCCCCCAAAACGTACTTTTTGAGATTTTAAAAGAGTTCACCACAACGAAAATGGACCCACTACCTACATTTGACCCTCCAAGCTACCACCATACAACAGTCTTATACGAGAAAGGGAATTTTCGCTCTAGCCATAGCAGGTATTTTACACCTAACAAGCTAAGTCAAACATACTCATTGGAGGCTAAAGATTCGCCAGTTCGTTTACTGCCGGTGGTGGGCCAAGAAAGGACAGGTGAGAGACCGTTCCAATGCCTTAAGAGCTCATCGTAGGCGCGTTCCAGCGCACCACGCAGGAATTCGTGCGCCGTCGGCATCGGCGTTGTCGTCACTGTAGCTGGCGTGGTAGACACAACCGTAGAGGGCCTCACTGTCTCCTCCTGCGGGCCGCCCAGAGTCAGTGCAGCCAGTGTCTCCTGCGTCTCATGTAGATTCTGACTCACCTGCGTGCCTGTTGAGAAGAGATTGGAAAAAGGTTTAAGGTCAGGCCGGGATTCTTGATTTTACCAAAGAAAAGAGCTATTAGATTTTCAGGAATACCAAGTACATCACCTTTTGCATAGTTCCCTACTGATACATTCATACAGCGTTAGATTAATATCAGGAAGGCTTCGCCACACTTTTCAGTAATGAACCATTTTGAGACAACCCAATGTACTGATCGAAACCGGAGATGTCTCGGTGCTAATCTCCAGAAAAGGCAAATATTTGTGAATGACTGTTGTATGGAAAATTTGCCTCTTGTGCGTTTTCATTCAAGGTGCTAAATGACTGCTGTGGCGATGGGCTAGAAACTACCGCAGCCGGAATCGGCACTGTTAGACGGTGGTGCTTGACGTCTTGTTTTCTTTGACTGGCTAGTAATTAACAGGTGGCAATCTTCGGAGGCTTACTAATTGAAGGACCATCGAAATTACGTCAATATTTGACACTTGAATCCAAACATTCATCTTAAATTTAGCAACACGAATTCTCCCCTCAATCCAGTTTCGGAAGCACCTTGGAACTATGGGCTTATACCCATGCCTGATGTCCTTTAATTCTCTAGTCTCTTTTGGAATGGCGCACACCTTATTACGATTTTGAAAATGATACGGCGACATATATGAACAGCAGTGGGTCTCGATTTCGTTAACTGGAGAGCAATTCACAGACGATAAAGTCTGTAGAGGTCCGGAATGGAAGCACCACCGAAACTAAGCCAACAATTTCGAGTTCGACACAGTAAATGGGGATACATATTCGAGGAGCCGTATTAGCATATGCTCTTGAATGCACTGATTGTGTAGATAAATAGTCTGATACCGCAACACTGATCACCACCCGATATAGAAATTGAATAAGTTCGTAGCCCATCCAACATTCATCATGAGCTCATAAGCATAGTAGGATGCAAAGCCGTATGTTGTAAAATTTGAAACACGCCTATTTGCAATTCGACTTATGGATCAACTGCGTACGTTAGTATCATCATCACCACCACAATCCACGCACTTGCTTATCACAAAAGTTGAATAAAAGAGAGAACGAATAAGGAAGTGGATGAATGATGCATCGATTACCAGAGCAGAGATTAAACTTAGAGTGACGTTAGCGAACACAGGTAATAAGTGCCTATTAATAGGGGATGCCCACACGCAAGGAGAGATTGCCCCAAGATGGAGTTTTTACGGTCCACGCTCTCCGCGTCTACAACATGGCTACTTCCAAAATCAAGCGCCTTATCACATTGCCTTTAGGGATAACCCAAGCGTTAAAAGTAGGATGTACCTGATTGTAAAGCCATCGCTACTGCTTGCATCCAAATAGACTCCCTAGTTACGGGTCTGACTGAAATGACAGAGGCTCGCAGTAGAACAACCACCGCCCCAATCTCAAGGTTTACATCATGGCCAGTACTGCAGTTAGAAAGCGGTAAAAGATGGGTAAAGCGTGAAGATTTGAGACCTTTCTCCGTATCACTAAGATTAAAGATTAACTCGCACCGATTGGGGAAAATGAGGTCCAAAAATTTAACGAAATTAGAACAAAACTCCAGGAAAATACTTCAGACAAGTGTCTCTCCAAAAAAGCGATTTGCATACGAATTGCGCTCGATAAATTACGGTGACAGTGACAAATGGAGCTATCAAATTTGGTAGTCATCTTATTGTAATTGAAAGCCGCTGCTACAGTACCACCTAATCCCATTACTATCACATAACTTTCGACCACACAAAAAGCATTTTTAGGGGCGCTGACCTAGAGTTTAACTGTAGCTTTATCGCTTTTCAATCAAGCACTGTGAAAAAAAAGACAGAAAGTACCCAACTGCTACCGTGCTTCCTAGCTTTCACACTGGGATAGGTTGGAAAACTCTTCCTGGCTCCGAAAAGCCACAAGTTCCGCTTGGATTAAAAAGTTCTCATCAACTTGGCAATTTAAATTAAAAGCGAATGGAAATCATCATGCTCCATTCTTAATGCGAAGCCGCGAGACAAGAGGATATTACTAGGTCGCTAATATGGATCCATGAATTCAAAACATACATAGGTGGTTCAAGAAGCGCCCATCACCAGACATGGAGTTGAAATTTATCCTAAACAAGACCACATGAAAGAAGACGAAGAGAACACCTCAAAAAAGAAGTATGCGAAGCACCGGTAGGGCCAAAAACAGCATTAAAAAATGCCTTACTGAGGTGGGGATGGAACAAGGAGGTAGTGAGGAGGTTGAGTTGCGATGGGGTGCCGCTGCCACCCACCGGTTGGGGTCGACAGAGGGAGGTGAGGGAGGAGACAAGAGAGGCTGCCGTCTGCTGCAAATCTGACAGTGTGGTTGAGGCGGCGGCGGTGGTTGCCGTCGCAGCTGGCGGCGGGGCAGAGAGCGATATGGGATTGAAGACGGGCAACTGCTTCGGCACTGGGGTATTCTGAAGAGGGGTGAAAGTTGAAGATAAATTAGGCCATTAACATCCATTTGTACTCCTTCCCTATTTATAACCCGCTTTCCCCACACCTCCCCCCGCGCCAGTCAGTAATTACAGGTGATTTGGTCTTCTAGCATACCTACAGAAACTGATACCTTGAAAGATCATATGCAGAGTTATTCAATGAAAAAGAAAGGCCGTTAGCTACCACCTCAAGATCTCCAGTTATTTCGTTCCCTCTTGCTATAGCTAGTGATCCTCACGAGTCTGTGCTATGATGATCTTACGAAGAATCTACACGACGAACTCTCTTGCCCCAGTCGGCAATCCTCATTGTTGTCAAGTAGAGTCCTCGACTCCTTCAAAGGAGTTTGCTCTCCGACAGAGTAACACCCAAGACGTCCTGAAGGGAGGAAAGGTACATCAATAAAGTCGCATCTCCCTCCCTTTGTCACGATCAAATAGGCCCATAAGTCCTAGCCTACTTAAACCCACATTCCCGTTTTATTTAGAGGAGTAAACATTGAATAACTTTATAACAGAGGCATTGTTCGAACAAATAATGAGAGTTCAGGCATTTGGTTTACATTTTCCCCCTTTTGCTATCCCACCTTATCGTTAACCTCGGTTGCATTTAAAGAACTCTGATTCTTTTAGAATATTTAACCTTTCCATAGAGCAAAGAAAGAGCCATTTTAAGAGGAAAGAAATATTAAACATACCGCAAACCCCAAAAGAGTGTATATAGCTATGATGACCTCAATAATCACGAGAGACAAAACAATAAAGGTAAAAAAGTTAGTTTTATTCCGCGTAACCTTATTGCCTCTTGCCACGAGGCAAAATAATTGGGAACATCGAGGCCGAATCGCAACAGAAAGCACGTCATTTTTAAGATGACACCCAAGCATTAAGATACAACACATGCTCCAAAGCCAAAAGTATAATCTGATTGTTTGCACAAAGCAGCCTTGGTCTTCAGGGTTCCAAGCTAATGTTATCAAACTAATGGTACTTAGTGTACAAACTTCGGTAGAACGAGACTTTACTCTTCTATCTCCCTCCTCCCCCAACCATTGGTATGCAGACGGCCCCACATAAGTCTCGGTTCCTTGTGGGGAGTTGTCACCAACTTTTGAAGGAACCAAGTCTTTGATAGAGGGATTCTATAAAAGGCCAAAAAAGGGTTCTTCCCCATCCCTGCCTTCGTCACTACTGCTAGGGAGGAAGAAATAAAGAACCCTCCCCTTTGCCACATCTGATGACCCTCAGCGGTCTTCATTTCCAAACTGCCGGGAAGAACCGTTATATCAAAAGCTACAGCGTCACTGAATAGGTATAGCGAATTCGATTCGACAATCATAAGCGACGAGGGCGGTGTCGAGGTGAGGCTAATGGAGTTCGGTTTAATTGGCATTATTTCTCTTTCCATTAAAAAAACCACCGGGAGTACCGCGGACAAGGTTCAATAGAAAGCATGTCTGTGTTACATTCAGCTAGACGGCAATAGAAGCGTAACGTTAAGAATGTAAGCCTGCAGTGCGAAACTGGTGGGATTCAGTCTGCCTTTAATGAAAACGGAAATAAACTTGTTTACGTCAACACCGATTCGTCCCTTAATGGACAAAAACGTTTACTTGCAGACGTAAAGAAACATTCCCGCCTACTCTAGACGCACCGACATTCCAACGGAGCAAAAGCACAAAATCGTCTCGGTAAGGGAATAAGTAGATGTGTTAGCCACAATTTTGGACATATTAGAGGAGGAAGGCTAGCTTTGTCAGTCGGTAGGAGAAATGGCAGATCGCGACGATGAAGGTGCCTATCGCGTTCCTTTGTTTCAGAGACTGAAATAATATCTATCAGAGGGTGTCCAAAGCCTTTGATAAATCCTCAATTAGATTTGTAAAAGGCCCCTGCAGTCTAACTAGTTTGCTGTTAGAACTAATGGCAATCCACCGAATCGAAATTAGAGTTCGTGATCAAAGACGATAACGACGTAAAAGGGAGAAAAGCTTTTAAATAAATTTTAACCATTAATAACGAATGTTTGCTCGGTCGATCTAATATCGTCATCGTTATAGCTAGGTAAATTGTTTATGGCTCGGAGACCTAGTACCCCATGTAGAAAATAATAGTTTCCCTATTTGACCAGACCCTGAGACCTTTTTAAGTGCTGCATTAAAATGACTGGCATAAAGGTAAAGTTGACCCCTCTCGAATGGTTAACCAATAAGGAAACAGGGTTAGCCGGGTGAATTGAAGCAGCAGACGCTGTTTTATTGTGACAGAATGGGGCATAAAAGGGAGATTTTCGGCGTTTCAAATTCATTTACTTAGTGGTAAGACTTTTGCCTAGTTAATAGTGACTTGCATGCCGAAAATTGAAGAATTACAATTGCAGCACTCACAGACAAGCCTAGCACCACACAGACTACTGCTCTGTGATCAATGTCATTAAGTTCTACTGTCAAAGACCATTTAGCAGTTGTGTGCTTGCGCTGAGATGCATCTTGAGATGTCATTTCACATACACACGCATTCGGTAGTAGTTAGCGGATAAAATGACCCGACTTGGCTTTATGCAGTAACATTAAATCTGTTTTCTGAGGGACATAGGTTAGCTGTAGGAGAAATTGATCAGGCAAATTTAGTTGCTTTTGACATTCAAAGAGCACGAGCGATAGCCAGAAGTTTTGATAAATCTCCCATTTTGACAGCTAGCAAAAAAGTTGTCAAAAATGTACCTCAAGTCATATCAAATAGGACTGGTTTGTCCTCCCATTTTCTTAGTATTTCAAATAAAAAATGAATTAGCATTTATGAGACCTTTCGGAGGAGAATCAAGGACGTAATTTACATTATTATAGCTCTCAAAATCTGGCAACGTGCGGCCAAAGTCAGCAGAAAGTGTCCTAACCACAACAGTATGCCTTAAATCAAGGTTTTACTGCAAACAGTCCCCTCCTTTTCACAATCGTAGTTACTTTTAACAGACGAGCTATTGTCCAGCTGGCTGAGCTTTATAATGTTTATTTGAAGGGTAAAACAAAGTGCAAATACACCTAAGACGGTGGACCAGAAGTGTTGTCCGCCCTTCAAGACTTAGCTGACTTTCAATGCTTATCGCTGACAGAATTTGATAAACCCTGGTAGTCGGAACATGAAAGTCCGATCCCGAATCGAAGCTCTGAATAGTAGTTAACCTAGCAACAGAGATGTCCAATCCACTGTCAGAGTTTTAAATTACCATCATATCACCCAGAACTTGTCTGTTTCAGTTTGCCTCAAATGGCTAGTTGACATTGTTAGGATGGAGATCAAGCCAAACTCTATCGCTGATTCGGAATCAATTTGTAACGCACTCGCAACCAAGGCCATTTGCAGCTTGCCTTTGTCCAGCACCCAAAAATGTCAGCTCAGGTCTTTCCCATATGGCAGGTGGATCATGTCATAGGGAAATCAACATACCATAGTCATCATAAACAATCAAAGAACGCATTTTACAAGTATATGCCGTTGATAGTGGATATGTGACAAGATAATGACACATCTACTTACCCGAAGCGCCTCGAATTGTTGCATAAGGAGCGATATATCTCCAACAGAAGCACCACCACCAGCAGCCGGCACCTGTCGCTGGTGGGGACAATCGCTAGCCAGACGTCGTAACGATTCACCTGAAGAAGCGGCAACAGGAGCGGTAGTCAAATCGAGCGGCATCTCCACTGCCACGGCTGCTGGGGCGCTAGAACCCACTAAACCTTTGGAAAAGTCATCTGAACGGACGTGTGCCATCTGGGGGTTGTAACTGGACGGCCCTGTTATATATGCCACGAAACAACCGCCTAAAATTACGAGTATAGGGAAGGTAGGAACCAAATGCCGTTTCGGAGTAAATTGTTGATTGAAGACTGCCTACCAAGAGAAGACTGTTGGTAGTGGGCGGGTGGTTTACCCTCGCGCCAAACGTTGTTACGTGTAGCAAGAGCAACTTCGGAGACTGAGGAAGTGGTGGTTGGCAGTTTGATGGTCGAATCCAGTGACAACGTTGTAGAGCGGTGATAGGCAGCGCGTTTGCGCGGCAGAGAGGATGGCGAAGATGGACGTGGAGCGGAGGTCTCAGTGTGCGACAAAGACGGCGGTGGGGAAGGTGAAGAAGGCGTACGATTTGAATCAAAGGAGCGGGAGAAGTGTCTCAGACTGATACGTGGTTGAGGCGACGCCGAGGAGGCAGCAAGAGCAGTGGAAACATCCATACTGGCTCCGCCTCCCCCAACACTCCACGAAGCCTCCACACTCATCACACGTCGACTCAAAAGGTGTTCTTTCAAACGTTGGCGGACCTGTTGAGAGCTAATCTTTTTGGGTGAACCATTGGACAGGAGATTAGACGGCGACATAGTAGTCGAAGCGTAGGAAGAATTCGCTCTCTGAAGACGAATAGATGTGGCTGCGGTGGTACTCTCTAAGGGGACTCTTGGGCTCTGCTGCAACCCATGGTCCGTCTCATCCATTGACTAAAAATGACGACATTCACCCAAGTGAATTAGGAGCCTACTCACGCTACCCAAGCTATTCACCCAGGCCATGTGCTAGTTTATAATAAACCTAGTTCTTCACTCCTATATCACTGGGCCTTTATGGGCGAATTATGGGATGGAATGGTGGTTGAAGAAAGAGAATCCAATGGAAAAAGACAACATCACCTACAATTCTGCTGACTAATCACAGAGTCAGCAGAGCATAACCAAATCTGCGGAGATAGAGTCGTATTCTGCGCCAGGGCTAATAAATTCAGACCAGATGTGAACTACTTAAGATCGCCGTACAAGATCTTCATGCAGTATTTACACTCAAGTACTAACTTATGAGCGTGATAAAAAGATTTCACGCCTTCAGGCATTAAGAGAAGCCCTAAAATGCGGATACAGCTGGGCACCAAAAAGTCAAAAATGATAAAAATTGCACACAGCGTAGCTCCCAGAGGCTACTTTAAGCAGACAGCGATAGACATACAAAATGGGTCCGCCATGGAAGAGGGACTAGTAGTACAAAACATAACACTCCACGTTTGCATGTCGTGATGAAAAATCATCGTACGGTCTCCACACCTGCCTCATGGGTTGTGTGAATAAAGCCGACTATTGATGTGATGGAGGAAGCCGTAGACTGATCATAAAGGGCGCCAAAGACGGCGCTCAAAGGAAGAGGGGGACCGTGACAGAAGAAACATTCACTGGATTATTTACGCGAACTTTTCCAGTCTCAAACATTTTGGCCTTCTCGCCCTCCTACTAGTCTCTCGGTATCTCTATTCACTTTTCAAGGCCTGACTTCCCTACAGGATTGCCTTATAACACCCAGAGGGATGACTTAGGCGCAACAAACACGATCGCCTCCGTCGCAAAAGCACTGAAAATGCATGATTTCTAAATTCCGGTCTTATCTCAACTGAGAGTGTACGTGTACGCACACGGGCTGGCGTAGCATGAGCGTGTGCGTATATGTGTGCTAAACATAGACCACGGAGAGTGAATAATTGGGTCCTAGCAATTTGCAACACAAGTATGGGCACGAGAACGTGCGTGCATTGCGTGTGACACTAAGGGTTGGCGCACACCATAGTTCAAAAACTGCCTTCTACCTCAGTTAGCTGGGTAGTTTTGGGAGCCTCCTCCTCCTCTTCCGCCATACACTTACATGGATTGGGTACATGGGATTTCTACGATACATTCGTGGGAGACCATTTCTCATGAAGGAGAATTATCAAAGTCAGACGGAGGAGTAAAGGCTCATCTCTGTTGCATCGGTTAGCTTTAAAGCGATGACTATAATTCACTATGGGCGTATTCATAACTTTCCACCAAAGACAAATCCAGCTTAATTTTACTATCACCAACCATTGAAGTCATTGAACTCAGGTCTGGCATGTGGAGGACCCATTTGTAAGCCAGACTGGCACCTCTATGCTAAAAAGGCTACTTCTCAGGCTACCATTTGAAGAGCCTGATTCTGCATTTGTTTGTTCTGCGAAGGAACCCGCCTATCTACAGTATGCACTCAGAAGACTTAAACAGTAAAGTGGAACTAATAGAGATTTTAAATTTGGGCAACAGGGTACTTAGTACGGTCAAACATTCCATGAGTAAGGCTAAAACTCGCAGCCCTCTTCATTCAAGACCAGAAGGAAAGGGAAACAACGGTCAATAACTTGCCCGTTCATGGACGTTCATGACGTACTGCAGTCAATGGCTTGCTATTTATATTTTCAAACGAACTCTTGCCTTCGACATGAAAAAAAAGACGAAACACTAACAATTGAGGTGATTTTAGGAGAGTTGAAACTTTAGATATCAAAAGGAATGGTAGACTTGAATTTTCTACATCAGTTATTTCCATAACAAAGCTTACCCATCCACAGTTTGACAAAAGAACTCGCTTGAGGCAACGACAACGAAATGTCTTCGCAGCTGACTAGCTGACACATTCCAGATTCAAATGTCCTGCTCAAGGTAATGGAGATATCTAACTTTCCCATTTCACGAGCAACACAAAAGAATAATCCCCACTGCCCGCCAACTAACAATTTATCAGCTCAAAATACACGAATTAAGTATGCCCTTGATAGCCTTGAGGTGCTTTCAACACAACCCCGTGCTGGAAAAGTCATACCCCTAATCAAAAGTTAACACTCCTCTTTTTTATTCAAATGGAAAGCCAGAAAATGAGTGCGCAATTGGAGGTTTTAAGACGATGAAAGCCTTAGACACCACCATGACTTACCATCTTAATCCCCATCCTGCACATCCCCAAGTGGATCACTGGCTGGCTAGATTGTTTTCAAGGCAAAGCCACTCACTAGACCCGAAAATTCTAAATTCATTTATTTCCCTAACCTCTCAACAAACACAACTTGGGATTGCATCGGTTCGAAAGGCTCCAGACGGAGAAGATATGGGAAGGTACCAAACACTGCGGTTCACGTTCGTAATAAGGTGACAAAATCCCACTGCTACAACCACACTGATCTGATTCATTCTATCATCCCGCCAAAAGTTGGCCTTCACTATCGCAGTTGGCATTTACTGCATAGGAGGCCCGTGTTTCCGAAAATAGCGATGCTATGTAAGCCGGCAGACATTACTGGGGGTAACACTCAGATACGTAGCCTACCTCTCGGACTCGGTGTGCGGGACATATGCTTGCGGGCATATTCATGCATGACTGAGATAAAAATAGGCGCCTTTTTGGATTATTAATTACCCTACTGCGTGTGCACATGTAGTTTGATGGCAGAGTAAGCAGTAGGAAGCCTAGGCTGGCTCATGCATGCATAGCGTGACGCGTCCTAGAATAAAGGAGTCTTATTCTTACCGGAGAAGGCGATAACGAGGAAAGAGGATGAAGTTTTAACATGCCCGGAAAAAAAAACACCAACTACTACTAAAGCTCAAATATTCGCTTGTTCTACTAAACTGAACAATTCAGCAGTTGCCCAAAGACGCAGCCACCGCTAGACTACGAATGCTCCACATGTATTTTGTATTAATCTCTGTCAATACGTCACTACCATGAACACGCAAGCCGTGTGTGGGCGACATGAGGGGTCCGGTAAAAAGACCTGAACATCACATATATGAGATGATAGCGGCAAATTCGTCGAATAAGGAATCCTCTTCTTGACGTTAGCCAGTTCGCCGTACCCACGCTAGTGGTACAACAGTTAGAGTTGATCTGACTGTTTTAAGAATACGGGGTAAAGATTCAAAAGTTGAACGGTGCCTTTAAAAGCACACAACTCAGCCGGTATTAAAGAATCTCAATTTCTGCACTTTTATCTTCTACCGGAGTGACTCACGGAATATTTTTAGAAATTTGACATGACTCTAGCAGGCCTCATGGTGAAAAGGCTCTACCCGCATCCGGAGAATTGCAGTGTTATGGGTTTTTTGATACACATAAATGAGAGAAGGATGGCCAAGGAGAAATTGAAGTTTCAGAACTATGTGTGCAGCTTCCAGGTGACTCGATTTAAGCAAATACCATTTCGGTGAGGCAAAAAACTTGAGAACGAAGATCCTGCATATCGCTTTTAAGAGGGAAGATACGTGCCCTGGATTTGAGAACCGGTAAAACTAATCAAACTACTCAACATGCAGTCTATTAAAAATATCTAAAAAGAATAAAACGCAGACTTAGTACTCTTCAGGATGGACTATCATGATAAGTGATAGGCATATCTACTTAGCTGATGAGCTGACTGTTTACACTAAAAATGTCACATCTCTCTTAGCTGCCATATCTGTATAGCGTGCAACCCATTGAGAATAATCTATCACCCAAAAATAGGTGTAATTCCTAGGCAAGCGAACCAATTACACAAGGGCACATGCAGATGCCATGACGAAGATAAACAATGTAATCAGGCTTGGGTACCGTCAATATGACCAAAATACATCACCTTGTCTTTGAGCTGCCACTCAAAAGAGGCAGTCTATTGAAGGATGCAAATATACTGATTCGAGATAAGATACAGGTTACCAGCGGCATTCGGAATATCAAGTTTCTTCGAACAACCATCAGTTCAACACACAACCTATTGAGGAATCATCAGTCAATAGGGAAGCTTAAACAAATTCAATTGATTTTAGTTATGGTTTGAGATACTAGACATTTTGACGACAGAAACTAACCGTGATCCTTTCAAATGTTATCTACTTGCCACAATCACGTTGACAACTACCTATTATACAGGATGAGACTTCCTGAAATCATGCGCTAGCCAAACTAAAATGTTATTCATAAAAACACTTCCAGGCGAATGCAACAATAGGTTTCGCCCATAATTAATTGCTGAAAGCGGCTTTCTGTGAAACAAAGAGATCGGTTCTGGAAAAATACCCTATTGAGCAAGACTTATTCTAAGGTATTACCAAATTACCAACAAGAATACGAAATAGGAAAACATCAAGCTTTAAACTTGATTTTCAGATAAGGGAATGCATTTTATGCGACAACTTTGACAGGCAAAAAAGAACAGATCTGAAACGCACCAGAGAATTGGGCGGAGATGTGTCCACTGCATCAGCAGCACAACCGCCGACATCAAAGGAAGCCTGTCGGGACAGCACAAGGCGTGCCTGTGCCAAGCGTGACCGAGACTCACCCACAGGCCCGTACCGTTTTCTGCATTCAGCCTTACCACCATTGCCTGGGTGGAGTGATAATGCTGATGGCACGGTGATGTCATCCATTTTCAGTCGCCTGAAAACAAAATCATACATCCTGGCAACAGTTCAGTGATTACCATATGCATTTACCACATTCGAGTAAAAAAAAACATTCAGAAGTGAACACCTTTGTGGAGTCACAGCTGCAATTCAAAGGAAGTTAAGAAACCAATTGCACGAAGCCATGGGTTAAGATCGCGAAAGCCTTTTACATACACAGAGGGTAGTTAGATAGCGGTTGGGTTTGTCATTTTTCGGCAGAGCTTACGGCAACTTTGACGCTGGTGGAGCCGCTTCAAAGGCACAGGTTTCATACATGTCTGATGAGTCAGGAAATTTAAACGCGGAATCACTTTAACTCATCTACTGTTCTAGCGTTTAGGTACAGTTAAAGAAGTTGTGGATTCACCTTAAGTAACCTTACACAAGTACACCGGTGAATTTGGATCTACAATGTTAAAAATGACTTTTGGGGAAAGCTAATGATCGAATTTGGAATCAAATGGCAACAGCAAGCCATAAATAAATGCAAGAGATGCAATTTTCGGGGTCTCTCGAACCTTAAAAACAGCAAAATGACACAAAAACCACCATCACTACAGCGTTTTAGTAAAAAAAAGAGGGGAAAAATGACGAACCAGAAGGAGCGATATTGCACTGTGAATCTGCTGTATTACGGCAAACAGTATGCCATCAAAGAGAATATGACGTTTGCAGGTCAAACTGCAAATTTTTATGGTGACACACTCGCATCCTCGATTTTGATTGGCTACTGTATTGCTGTATACTCGAATTCAGTTGTCCATGTAAAAACATGGCAAAATAAAAATACCAGTTTTTGTCAGGCACTGATTATAATTTTTTTTTAAAACTAAAGGCATTGTTTAAAGAAATTTCGCTGCAAGATATAAATACGTAACTTGTACTTGTATTTAATTAGTGCTGATGAGTAAAAAGATATGATTAATAACTTTCTCGCGTTGGAATAAGTAGCAGCCTTTTTTGGCCCCTTAGCAGAGCAGACACTTATGCAGCGTCCCGAGACTCCCTGAAGACGAAAGAAGACACTACTCGGGTAGAATATATATTCAGCGCAGAGGTGTCTGGGCTACTGGCATGGCCCAAAAGGCCAGCCCACCCAGCGAGGCACAAGGGGACTAATTCAAAGTACAAAGTGGCGCCTCACTAATGCTGAGGGACAAACCACTATCGTACTACACTTATGCTTATCAGCAAAGGTGTCCGAAATCACCCAGCCCCAACAATTTCGAGCTTAAAAATCTAAACATGTACACTGACTTAGTCTTCTACTTTGTTGTCCATGCATAAACAAGTGCTTACGCAGTACATAGATCCCCGCAATCGCAGCGACTTACAGCAAACAGCACGGGAGTCGAACTCGGTTTTCTCAAGCAACACAATTCCCAATGGCATTCGCAATGACGGCAGACTGATAAAAAACCCATGATCACTTAGTAATTAAGAGCCCGCGACTCTGACAGAGCGGAATTCGCAAATGCTAGGAACAGGAACGAAAAATTCCGTTCGTTACAAAAAAATGTTTTATTTCCCCAAGAATTCCTCCCATTTTTTTACCCTCGAAGGAGGCATTTCCTTCTCTCCATAGAGCTCCATCAGATCCGTGATCTGCACACCACCACCAGTAGCGGATAGAGGGACGTACGTCGGCCGAATAAGATCGGAAATAGACGACGCAGGTAAAGGTTTCCGCACCATCGGCCTTTTGTAGCGCCGTAGCAAATCGATTAATTGCTCCATCTTACTGTGGCCATGAACTCCACACGAATTGATGAAGCGAAGCGAAGCTGCGAGCTGTCGTACAAACGCGCCATGTTCTGCTACAGCATTCACTAGGTAGATATTCCTAGATGGAAAGAAAAAGAAACGCTTGGAAGCCTGGAATATGTTTCAGACACTAGTTGAGGACAAAAAGAACGAAACTATTTGAACAACCCACCGATTGAGATGATGCATCGCAATGAGAGCCGCCAGAGGTTGCCGAGTGGGATGCACTACTCCGGAGCATAGAGCGCTGGCATAGGCGCGGAGCACGCCCTCATCCGTCTCCAAAGGTTCGAATAATCTCTCATAGATGGCGGTTGGCAGAACGACCTAGAAGAAGAAACGAAAGTCGAGAAAATGGAAGGCGAACTTGCCTCCACAGGAGAGAGCTGAAAGGCGCGAAGTGCGGATTGGTGCTCTCCCCACAGAGCACGTCGATAGCTGGGAGGTAGCACGGTGGGTTGAAGGAAGAGAAGTAGAAGGTTACCAAAGATTGAGGAGGAGTAGGAGACGGCGGCGTAGTGCTCCAACAAGTCAATGAATCTAGGTCCAAAAGTGAAGCTCAATTTGGACTCGCACCAAGATATGGAAGAGAAAAGCCATGTCAAAATTTTCCACCTTTTCACCACTTTCAACAAGGCGCATTGTTTGGCCAAATCGCTTTAACTGGAACGTTTACATATCTAACAAAAGCACGAACCGGATTCCACTCACAGGTCATAAAGCGAGAGCAAGTCCAGCGGAAGGTATGCCCCGGGATTTCGATTCATCTCTCCCAGATCCAATTTTGATGCCAGTAGACTGATCAGTTCCGCGATAATGGCACCCGAGGCGTTAAAGCACAGCGCTCCCGCCCCTTGGTAGGCCAAAATAGCACAGCAGAGGCGAGCCAAGTGCCCACCAGCGGAAAGCTCACGAGACTTCGGGAAGCAACGTGGTGGCGAATGTTGACTCACCAGTCGATGAATCCAACCCAAACAGGCGGTGGCTTTCACCAGGTAGGCCTGAAGTCACGTCAGGGAGGAGAGTTTAGAAAAGACAGTGTCAAGAAGTGTTGGATAACATAATCCTCGCAGACCTCAGAATCACTTTGACTGCACTCAATGGAACTTATTTTGACTTCGTTTTCGTAGGTATGCTGATAACAGCCCCAAAAATAGGCCTCCAGGAGAGGCATGTAGAACCAGTCATCAGGTAGGATGAAATCACAACTGGGGCGGGTTTTGAGAACTTCGTAAGTCCCTTGGGTTTCTTCAAAAAAAAGGAAAAAGTTGCTTAGAATAACTTGTTACTAGAGGGCAATTTCTCACTCCGATAAAACAACAACCCCGATTTCACCGAGTAGATACAAGATCTAGAGGAATCTAGATGAGCTGCTTTATTTTGAAGCTCTATGAGTTCAGAACTCCACACTAGATGTCGAATGTGGGGAAGGGACTATGCCACTTTTCTGATGTCATTCCATTCGTTCATCCGTAACATCACCCACTTCCTCTACCGCCACTAATGTATACTGCGAGAAGGCTATGACAAATTAACAGCATATAATGATCAGAAAACGGATGAAGACTAAACTAGCAAGAAGTTTTAATTAAAACCACGACTTACCGGGTCTGGAGCCTTCTAACAACTTGATGAAGTATTCCACATAAACCCGATGCCCATGGAAGGCCAGACCAACTGAAAACGACTCATGAACTGGAGGCCAAGGAGGAAGAGCATTCATAACTTCCGCAGAGAAGCCCCTTTCGATGCTGAAGAAAGAAAAGAAATAGCTTCCGTAGTATGGCGTATCCTTGATGCACCAACAATATTAAAACTCACGGAGTCAGGTCGTAAACAGGGAAGATGACTTTCTGCATAAGTTCAATGAGCAATGCCTCCTGCCCAAAGAAGTGGTAGGGAAGGAGGTGGAAGGTGGCCCACCACAGACCCTCCTCTTTCGAATCGCTCTAAGAGAGAACAAGGAAAGCGGAGCAGTGATTGGCATACAAAGTGGGCTGGCTGTGGAACAGCACCAAGTCAGTGAATTCGCACAATCCAGCCTACAAAGAAAACGCAACTTGGAACCTAAGGAAATCAATGAGATTATCCCTAGCTCGTGAGTGAATTGCAAAGAACCGATTATGCTATTATGGTAGACCACATGGAGCACGTCAAAAATGCATGTTTCAAATAGACGTTTAGCTGTGAGGATCTCTCAGTCTTTGCAGACTGGGGTAACGATCTTGATAACGTAGCGTCGCGTTCATGCCAAAGCTGACAGCAATCCACCATCACATCTCCAGCATCCTCTTGCATCTTTGGATAGGACTCAGCCGCAACAAAGACTTAAACGAATATCTTCGACCACCTACCCATTGAGCAAGAAGATATCTTTGCATCATCGCAGTTTCCATCGCCATCATGCCATGTGGCAAAGGGGTGCCGGTACTACACGCTTTCTCCACCACCGGGGGCACACGCAACCTAGTTAGCTGACTACACCAAGGGGTTAGATCAACATCTCCAAGCGTCACTGCCGCTTCCACTAAAGGCAGAAAGCTCGGCCAGATCGCCGGTCTCGGTGGAGCCAAGTCGAGGGGCTCCACAACGTCGCGAGGATAGAGTGAGTGGGTGGAGGACGGCCACCACATGGCAGGAAGGGTGGCGGAGGACTCGCTGCTAGCGGTACAGGGTCCGCGGTAGAAAAGACAGGTAGACATTCCCAGATCAGGAAGACAGGGTGGGGCAGATGAGACAGTAATGGGAAAGAGGAGGTCTTCGTTTTCGCCTGATTCGAAGATTACATCGGTAGTGAAGGCGGATGGGTCATTGTTGGTGTAGATTGAGCCAACGCCAGGCGCCAAAACGTCGGCGTGGGAAGTTTTCTGGGGGAACCCGGTGAGGACTGACTGGTGTCTGTTCGGATAGTTTGGAACCAATCAAGGTAGGAAGGCTAGTTAGGAAACGTAACCAGTTCTTGCATTTGAACTGAAGCTTGTCAGAGTGAGATAGATTGATTAAATGATCAAAGAGGCGGGATCAAGTCAAAAGGCGCCGATCGCGAAGCCTGCTTAGTGCTCAGTCACTGAAATATTGCGGTATTTTACCAAAAGACAACAAATAAAAAGATGTACATCACTTGACCCACAATAAAGCAACCTTAGAATTCGAAGTCAGGCACTAACCTGATAAAATGATTCAAAATCCTGTTCCAAGATGGGCCCTGAAAAACACATTTTCGAATAGTTGTCTACAAAGTAAGCAGACTATCAGTTCGCAATGTGGATAGCCTTGGGTTGTAAAGATTTCCTGATGTGGGAAGGAAATGCAGGCTCACCAATTCCTCCATGCCCAGTGCCTTCAAGAGGTGCACAGTGACAGCAATCAATGCAGGTGGAAGAGCCTTCCTCCCTTCCTCCCCCTCATCCTCCTGCAAATTCACAAACAATGCAGCGGGGTGATATGGGTAAAGTGAACTAGATACTTACGCTTAACGCGACCTCCTCAGATAATCCCTTCGCCCAAGCGCGAATACGCTCGAAGTGGCCACTAGAGAGGTACCTTAAAGAAATTTTAGCTTCCAAGTTACCACCTGAAGGCGTTATAAGACGCGAGTATGGAACTAGTTCCATTATATGGGTACAGAAAGAATAAAAGACCATAGACCAATTCCTGGAATGCCGTGAAAGTCTCTGTATTGATCCTCATAATCGACAATAAGGTAATTCCATCACATAAACACCTCCGGTGCCCCACGTGGTCGCTGTTCCATTTCGACTAATGAAGGTCTGCTGGCCAATTCTAAGTAACCACGACGCCGTACTATGAGATTGCGTAGATACAGTTAATCAAATACTCAAGTAACGTAAATATTAACCCGAATGGAAGCGTATCAAGTGCAGAGGCAGCTTACTGTGAAAAACGCGGCACTATGACGTTAGCGAAGAACGATGACCATGCGATCCGGAGACAGTCCTCTTTCTTTTCACCTTCCATCACCGTCTGTGCAGCTGCCACGAGCCCATCTAACGCCCGCCTAAAGCGTGCAAACTGAGAGATCATTGAAAACCTAGCTACCCGGTGAGGTCAACAGCTTTCGATGGTGGTTTCGGTTCTTCCAGACACACAGACAGACATCGAAGTGACTCCAATTGAAGAAGAACGCCAAATTTAGGAGGCAGAGCGGTAGGAAGGCGGAGTAGATAGGCGAGGCAGCGTTCAACAAGACACCAGTCAGTTACCAGCATTAGTCGCAGATTAGTGCTGTGTTGAGCGAGGACGCGCATTAGTTTGAGCACTCGGGGGAGAGGAACACCGTAGGCATTGGAGAGTTGGTCGTTGTGGCATTGGGGTGTGTCCAAATCGTTCCATGCAAGAGGAAGGAAGTGCTCAGTGAGGGAGGCGATTAAATGGGGTGTCTTGTAAATCTAAAGGAGAGGTGTAAGGCGGCATGATTGAGTAGATCTTGTTGATTCACTCGCTACCAGTGTCCCACATACATGATGCCGGTACGTCAAAAATAGTGTAACCGTAGTCAAACCAAATTGTCAAAGTGGATCCAGAATTCCTAAATAGAGGCGTGTAGCAGTGGGATAAATGAAGTGGGAACGAGAAGCCTCAAGAATCGACACCTTCCCATACCTAAAGAACATGGTCAATAACCCCGGAACGGGAAGATTAACAGCTTCAAAACAGGAAGAATACACTTATAAAAGTGATCCCATTTGGGAGGAACGAGATCCCATGATTCGACATCCCCATCTGTCATAAGAAACTGAGACAACAAGGTTAAATGACGCGTCTATAAGCACGGACGGAGACCAAGAAGGCAAATAGTCCTACGATTGTCTACCTAACTGCCCATAAAGTTATCTAGGTCAATGGCAAACACAAAAATAATCCCATGAGTGGCATGAATTCACAAGGGTCTATAGGAAACTGCAACTGAAATCCTAAGAATGGACAATTAAAGGATTTCAGAATGACAAATCTGAGTCCACTAGCGGTCGAAATCATGGTTGGCATGAAAACCTGGGACAAAGCACCTCTTCCAATAAAAAAGCCACTCCAAAAGGCAATTAGGAAGTACCAACAGAGCCAGAGCAGCAGAATGTCTAGCTGCGACGATTAGGAGAGCAGGGAGAGCGTGAGCAACGGTGTCAGGAGGTAGGCAAAGACCAGGGCTGGGCGAGAGCATCCAACTGATTCGGGCTGCTAGATTGGTCTGAGCGAACAGACAGCCCACAGGGTCCGCCGCCATCGCCTCCGCGTGGTCCAACTTCCCATCAGTTCCATCATTTAACGTTGCTGCTGTCGCCACCTTCAGGCGAAACTTGTGCGGACTCCGGGTCATTGCAGATGGAGAGAGGTTTATAATGGATTTGCGACATTCACTTGACCAGTCGAATGCCTCGTCCAGAAGCATCTGTGCAAATAAAGAATATACGTTACTCGTCACTTCCCATGCTGAAGATTTGCATCTCACTTCGCCTCGCTCGTCCACCAGCAAGTTATTCAACGCGCGGAAACACTCGCCAATCAGAGCTATGGAAACGCCACCACTGTTGCCACCGACAGCAGCAGAGGCGCGTGTGGCCTCGCTGATGCATTGATCCAGAGCCCAGCGAAGAAGGAAGCAGATCCCCGAAGGACGAGTAAGGAGGGAAGGGAGGAGACTGGGCGCCTGCAGCAACGAGGCATGATGTCCACGACGCGAAGCAGCCAGTGCTGCAGCCAGACTCGAGACAGCGAGGCGTCGTTGGATGGGCTGGCTGGAGGAGGCCAGATGGAATAGCTCTCCAACTGTGTAGCCACCACGCTGAATAAGATAGGGGAGGAGCAGAATTAAGTTTTAACCAAAAATACTTCCTTTAATTCTATATGAATTGACTGCTCTTGTCGTTGAAGCCATTAGTCTCCCAGCCCTTCTGCAATTTTTTTCCGGGTTGGGGTTGTCGTGTCTTCAGGAATGACTCAAACGGTACGATGGTGGCAGCGTAAAGTTCATCAACTCCAAGGGAACAAAAGTCTTTATCTCTCTAGATGGGTATTACACCTATACGTCACAAAAGAAAAGTGAAAGCTCAAAAGTGAATGAAACTATCAAAAGTGCGCCGACTTGAGGAAACTCCCCAATCTTCAGTTCTGCTCAGGGGCCGGTAATGAAGCAAGACCAAAGTCTTGACGTTTTGATGGAAAATCACTGTGTGAGTTATACCCGTCTCGAGGAGAATATTAAGACTACCTACCAGAACAGTTTTAACACACCTCAGGTTCGTCTCCATGATGATGCAGACCCAAGTAAGTGGGTATATCTGCATCAGGGGGGACCACACGGCCTTCAAGGTCGAATCTAGCATCACATGGCTTCGATAAAGAGATGCTTGCGGTTTTGACCTCTTTTGTGGGTGCTTTTTCGATGTGCGGAAGATCCTGCATCCACGCTAGTTTTTCTGGTTCAACCACATCCATGTGGGGGATCAAGGGGTTTGGTTCAATGCCAAGCGAGGCGAGAATTGAGTTTGCGTCGGGTTGGGCAGATGATTCGGTACTTCCTGATGACTGATGGACGTCGTCTCCCTTTTCCAACGGTACTCCATGTCTAAGAGCTATTGAAAAAGTGAGTAAGAGGTGTGCTATTTTAATCTGACTGAATTTCAAATATAAAATGGATGCTATTGAAGAATAAACAACAGGTATCCCCGTAGAATTCAAATCTTATAATTTTTCAAAAATCTTATGGGCAAGTTTAATTTGTAAATCAGTGGAACTTCTGGACCTACCTTTCTTGTGCATGAGAAAGGAAATGACTTTTGGGTCTACAAAAAGAAACGTATTCACGACGTTAACGCACACATCTCAACAAGAGATGCATTAAGCCGGATCAGGTATTTCACTGTGAAACCATGTTCTACAGAAGGATTTGCCGTAAATAGGATTGAATACACTGAGACCAAATGCTGAGGTCAGTAGTTCTAGCCAACGAATAATAAAACGCCGACACTCCAAAGGGAAAACTCCATCGAACAATGAAACTTCATCATAATCTTCAAGTTAGCATTAAAGATATGGTGTACACATTGACCTACTGATTAAATTAGCTCGACTACGTCCATGTAGTCGCACAAGAATCTTCCAAAATCTTAGTATTGACCGATCGTACTTAATCGTGCTTCTCTCATAACTCACCCCACACTGAAATGCTTCAGTCACTTCATGATCGAATAAGTATTGAGCTTAATTACCTAGCCGGTTTTTAAGTTTACATAAAACCAAAAATTAGCTGGAAAACCTGCGGAAGCAATGATGGCCTCCCGTTCCCGTAATATCTCCGCCTCTGAGAGCTGTGAAAGCAAGTTAATGTTGTTTTCGTGGATCCGCACAATCTCATTGGCTGCGAAGCCTTGCTGATGGCGAATCACAGTTGGTCCAGTATCAGCCAACTTTTGAAGGGATTCCGACACTAATCAAAGGGAAAACGCCGATGGTAAAATTTCCATCGAGTGAAAATTAAAACTCACTACTGAACCAAAAGGAGGCCATAATGTGCCATATATAAAGCATGAATTTGGGATGATTGATCAACTTCAGGGGGCAAAATAACTACCAGAAATACAGATGAGAACAAGATGGAAGTCCTTCTCCATCAACAAGGGAAGCATATAACAACTTGGAAAATCATAGTTCAAACTTACGCTTTGGTACTTCCTTCCTGGGCTGCTTTAAAGCGGCATCGGCTTTAAAAGCTACGCCCTCTTTAGCTGCCAGCAGCTGTTTAGCAAAGAGACTTCGAGTTTTAGGCCTACCAGAGGAACTTTTTGAATCTAACCGGCCAGCACAACGGAGCAGATCAGTATCGGTAATGTTCTCACCCAAAAGAGGAACATAAGGTTGACCACTACCTCTGTGAATCAGTTCATCGGAAGCACAAACCGTGTTGTCGGGGGAAAACCGGTGCTCCTACGGAGAAAAACGAATGAACAACTTGACACTTACGACAACTTGAGAACTGACAGGAGATCCCAAGAAAGATGAGTATTGGTCATTATAGGAGAAGCGTGGGGAATGACTGCTGGTGGAGACGGTGATTACAATGTGATCAGCGCGAGGATTTTTAAGAAATTCAGCCTGCTCCCTGAAGTACGTAGATGAAGAGTAGGTGCAGTATTTACCAAAGCAGATCCTCGTCAGTTTTGGCAAACCGGTTATGCATAATAGCTGCAAAGGATCAAAAGTGCGGTGATAATTTGATGTATTCTAAACAGAAAACAGTAGTTAACGATTCAAAGACTAGACGACTGAGGCTGACAATACTAGCTTCTACATCAAAGAAGCGCTAAGAAGCAGGAAGAATATTTATTAACGTTAAAAAGACTTAGCACCCAGTAAGTAGAACTGTGTAATTAAAAAAATGAAACAATCAAAAATACGACTCCGCCGGTCTAAAGAAGCAAACCCAAACGATCAAGAAAAAACCACAATCTAAAACACTAAATAATGTTATCTACAGAGACGACTTTTACTAATTAATGTGACAGGTGATAAATTCAGATTTGGTGAAAGTGAGAAGTGACAAAAAATGAAGGGCTGCAAAAACAGCCAAAAATCAAAAGACAAGCTGGCCTCATGGAGGGACGAATAAAATTACTAAAATGTGTTGCATTTTAGATCGCTGTAGCATATCACTAAAGTACCACCCCTCTATTGCCTCCCACGCCAAGCATACAATGAAAACCCGCAAAGCACACGATCGTCTAAAACAAGATACGATAGCAATTTAACTTTTTTATTCGAAAACAGTGTTTGGAAATAAACATTGCTAAAGCTACACAAGCTATGGTTTGAGGGGCCTTCTTCTTTGCCACGCAATAACTTTTAACAACCTCGTCATTTAAGCAAGAGAAATCACGGTATGTAAAATTTTTGGTTTACACAAAGCGAACTAAAGATCAGATTTAAAAAATTATTACATTTTTCAAAAATTGCTATACTGTCAAAGTATGGATCAGGCGTTTTATTTTTTTAACACTTAGGGAATATAATCGAACATTCTACTTATATTGCCTCATATTGCATAATTAGCATGTTCGAGTCATTGTCTTTTAGTTTCGAATTTTTCAGCCTCTCTTTTTTGCCAATAATTCCTAGGGCATTGATATGTCTACCATTCTGCTAATAATCTGGCTTCACATCCTGAGACATCTCCAAAGGCGGATGAAGAAATAATACTCGGGCAGTGTATGTACTATCGACGTTTAGGAGCGATTAGGGCTACTGGCATGTTCCGGAGCCCAGCCGACACGGCTTAAGTGTAATACGATAGTGGTTTGTCCCTCAGCATTGGTGAGGCGCCACTTTGTACTTTGAATTAGTCCCCTTGTACCTCGCTGGGTGGGTTGGCCTTTCGGGTCATGCCAGTAGCCCAGACGCCTTCTCTGCGCTGAACATATACACTGCCCGAGTATCGTGTCTTCTTTCGTCTTCAGGGAGTCTCAGGACGCTACATAAGAACCAAGACGGACACCCAATTTGTTGCTTACTTGACGATGAAATAGAATGAAATTATATGTAGAACATTTCGGAACATAATTAGACTATATATTTAGGCTACGTTTTTTTCAGCCCTACTTTTTCAGTTAGAGAAAGTATATCATAACTACTCCTTTTAGGTTTGAGCGAGTTTTGCCATCCCTGAACTGTCCACTAATCAGGTGGCAGTGCAGAGTGCTAAAATGCCCCTTGCCGACTGGCCGCAGCTGTAGCCTGCGTGCACTCCCTTATGCTACTCGGAGCCAACTAGTGCATCACCTTAAAGGGACATGTTAATTAAGTAATTTAAAAGCCTCTAGCGCAATGGTCCAAATCTTTTCTAGTAGAGTGGACGCGGGTTATGTTTAACGAAGGACTGTCGATTATTGTAACAGAATCGAAGTCTGATAATTTTCTGTTTGTAATTTTGCGCCATCAAAACATCTTTTGAAATATTATTTATGTGGGATTTGAGTAAGGGTTTCAAACGATAAGTATTGTAATTCAGAGCCGTACCAGGGTACCATGACCGCAAATACCTGTTGATTTCTCTCTCTCAACTAGGTCAGTTCATATCAGTCAATTCTGCTCCCCATGTCTAACAGTACTAGTGAAAAATCAGTAAAATTGATATTGCGGTTAGATGAACGCTCTCAAAAGTAGATACGAGGCAAAAATTCACCCTTTTCTGGTGGAAATGAGGCATTGGGTAATTGGAATGACGATGATTACTGCTATCAACCCTGAAACCCTACCATAATTATGCAAACGCAACTACGGTTGCCCCATAACGATCGTTGCTAGGGGAAATAGAGGCAGTTGGGGATAGAGGAGGAGGTAGAGGAGTAAATGTATGCGGACGGCGGGGTCAGAGGGAGAGTTTGTGCCTGTGTGTGTCCGCTGGGCGTGCAAACAGCTCCATTAAATGCTAATGTCCTTGCTCCAGATGCCCTGCGCTTGCTCGCATGCACACAGGCTTGTGGCTTGTCCCCTGAATTTGCATAAGCACTGGCCCCAACACCTTTACCACACGTCACCATCTGTCCCCAGTTTGCCCCACAATTTTTGGTAATAATAATAGGCAATAGGCGATCTGGTAAAAGTCTGTTTATGTTGCACACCTAATTAATTGATGTAGAGGCTGTAGTCTTATCCCAACTAATAGGAGGGGTCGAACTAACGGCCTTGAACTAGAGTTCAGTCAATTTCACCGCCCCAGCCTCCACGATCTATGCCATGCCCACTGCGATAAGGGTAGTTTGATACTGAGACGGAATAATATATACTTTGGTAAGGGAAACGACAACACGAAACCTCTTTAACTGGCTCTATTCGGTCTGCACGACAGTGGCAGAGTGCTCCACTCATACTATTTGTACTCAGCTCTTCCCATTTTTTTACCTTCTTACACACACGCCTCGTCGTATCATTAAAAAATACCTCGGAGGCAAGTGAACCAACTCCAAGAGAGCAATAATGGCCCTGGAGTTGTGTTGGGGATAACCATATCCGGTGGTGGGGGTGGAGAGGGCATTCGCGATTTAAGGGCTACCGCTGGTGTCATGGGGTTCTTACGTCAGCGGTTCCTATTAACTTTGGTCCTGATTTGTATGTCTTAAAACACCTTGAAGGATCACTCAGACTTTTGATAATGCCATTAATTCGGGCATGGTAGCCACCTCCACATTCTGAAGCATTGAAAAAGGGCGTGTGACGGTTGCTTAATTCAATACCGTCCTTTAACTCTCCCATGAATCAGACTGCAAGCAGGTGGCATGCTGTTCGCTACCATGTTCCTAGTCATTTTTTCACCACTGGTGACAGCTTCTTCTGCGGTCGTGGGCTCTGCTACGGTGTCAGACGGCAACATCAAACAGCCCCTACCGAGGATGGTATGAGGTTATCAGACCTGGCACTATAAATCTGTTCCGTTCAGGACTATGACGCCCATCATCATCACCAGCTAGAGGTGTCTAGTCTCACCTCATCCATAACACAGGGCAGATGTTATCCCATCTGGTGCTTGTAGTGGTAAGATCTCGTGCGCCCGCGCAGCACGCAATGGTGATTAGCATAATCAGTAAGGGAGAGCAGAGCCAGGCATTGTCCCCAATGCTATAAGAAGAGCTGCTCCCATAGCGCCGTGGTCACTAATACCACCATTCACAACAGGCATGGTGCAAGCATCCACTGAGTAAGTTCTCAAACCCTTCCCGCTTTATCTCTTGTAGGCATGCGAAGATAAGTCTGTCTGCCGCCTCACCAACCCCCTCGGAAGGACTGGACGATATAGAGGCGGAGATGGAACCGTTAGACTTGAGTCTCTCCTCTGTCTCCGCAACAACATCCAGATTGGAGGAGAGTGTCAAGAGCTACTTCTCTTCGCCCATTTGTAGTGTGGAGGAGACGCGTATTCCCTTGGCCTCACCAGAGGCGCCGTTTCAAGTAAACTGTAAGTACGACTTTGATTTGCTAGTTTTGGAGATTGGCATTCTGAAGATCACATTCCATAAGAATTAGATCACAGTCTTGAGCACCTACCTGAGTTGAGCTGCTGTCCACATTAGGTCAGATCAGGGGATCCTTAACCCAATTAGCCAATCAGGCAGCAACATTGTTAGGTCCGCAAGAAAGGGGGATATCGAAATCACCATTGCTTCAAATGCCACACCTGATGAAAAAACTTCGACGTTGCATACATATGATGCTGGTAACGAAGAAATGAAGTTGTCAAGAGACACCGGAACGTGAATAAATTGTAAGGACTTCTTGTTTTATAGCCTCAACCTCTACGACATTGCTACAGCTCTACCATATCCTAACCTGCTTTCGCTTGTGGAGATCCACCGCTATGGAACAACCAATCCAAAGTGAAATGGACGTGGTACCCACTTTTCTTTCCATCGCTTCTATGCCTTCACTTCCCCTTGCTCCAGCTCCTCCTGTTCCTGCTCTTTCTCCCATCTCGGCTATTCAACAACGAGGAAGTGCCAACGTCCACAGGCCAATTGATTCCGAGGAACTGAAGTTCCCAACGTTGGTTAAAAGACGCAGTAATATTAGCCTCAACAAATGCTTGACTTTCAGAAAATTTGAAAAATTTTAATCCTAGGTTCAGCAAACCTCTGCGTAGACCACTCCGGACCCCAATTACTATAGCAAAAGCACCACTACGCAAGCGAGATCCGCACGGAAGCTCAGCGCCGACGTATCTCTGCTCCCACTGTGGACGAGGGTTCACGAAGGCCTACAATCGTACGATTCATGAGAGGACACACACGGACGAGCGGCCCTTCGAATGCACGGTCTGCGCGAGACGATTTCGGCGAAAGGACCACTTGAGGGATCACAGGTTCGCAAGTAATGATTTCCCAATCGGGAGGATGCATATTATTGGTTAGGTGGAAGAGCCAGAGGTGAACACACAGACGGATGGAGCGGATGGGTGGGATAAATAAATGCGAGTAGGACCCGGAACGACTGAGTGGATCAATGGAAAGTAGGAAGAGAGTGAATAGGTTTGTGGATGGAAGACACTCGGAATGGCCGAATGGATCACGTATAGATTGGAAGGTTTATCAGTACCGACGGATCTTTACCGGGTAGATCCAACAAATCAGAGAATTGCTAGGTGGATAGACTCATAGATGAAACTGAAGCGGAGAGGTAGGCCAGAGTTGGGTAACTGAGGCTTGACTGCATGAATAAGTTATGATGGTGGTGGAAAGAATTGGTGAATGATAGAAGGAATATGCTAGAGAAGAAACCGAGATTTTGTTCTCTAATCTGTGTGTTAGGTATGGATGAGTGCCTGTATGGGTGAATAGATAATGGGAGTTGGAGTCCTCGAACACGTGGTAGGTAAAGTTTTCTCCTGAAGAGCGGATGAAAGTTTGGATCAATCAGTAAATGCATCGTTGAATAGCTGGATTGGAGTTTAAATAGACTGTTCGATAGTTCGATAGGTGAATGAGTTGGGTTTATGGAACAGTACTTATTAATAAGGAATTATTTTTTTAGCTACACACATCTCATGAAGAAGCCTTTCTCGTGCACCTTCTGCAATCGCGGTTTTTGTCAAGCACGTTCGTTGGAAAACCACAAGAAGACCAATCATTCAGACTTATCATCAATAGATGTGACGTCAGCAAATGAACAGAAGGATGATTGAGATCAGCGCCGCAAAATTAATCTTCCCATAACTTCATGCCTCATCATTATCACCATCCTTTCCTCACTTAAATTGATCCGAAGTTTGTTCAATTTTATGGTAGCCGTACTTCAAACAAAGTTAACTTGTACATATTTCTTTTAAATAAATAGCATTTGAAGCCAATTTAGACGTTTGACTACAACACCACTTACATGTTAATTATTCATATATAGGAAACATTTTCCCCCACTTTAGCACCGGTATTATCGCCTTCCTGATATAAAGAGTTTGAACTCACTATTTTTCACTAGGATTGAAGCAAGAATTTCAGAAATGCAACTAGACGCGTATAACTTCCTATTTTTACCATAGACAATTCCACCAGCAGCCAATGTGTCTGTGGTAGAAGTATGGGAAATATTGACGTGTTCAAGAAAATCCCTACTGCTTTTGTATTTTTGGCAAGTATTAGGAGTGGTCTGAAGTCATAGTATTGGTACCCTTACCTCGTTTTATTCTTCCACATGTTCTTTGCCATCTTTTCCGGTTCCTTCGAATCATCCCATTCCGTTTTGTATGGTGTACCGCCGCGGCTGGTTCGTGGTTCAAAGTAGACATTAGTGGGAACCTGGCAAATGTAGGTTCATTTGATCGTATCAATTCTCTTCCATAGGTCAGGTTGTTTTCCACGTTACCCATTTTTCACGTGAGTGCATCAGATAAGGAACTTTCAATGGTGGCATCTAATTTTACTTTATCGTAGCTGGTGAAGTGACAATGAATTTTCAACGAATACGTCTACTCCTCCATTACTTCTGCCGATTCATCCAACCTTCTCTTCGCCACTTTCCGAGAAATGTCCACCAGAAGCCAGGTGCCGGTGCACTGTGCCTAATCTTGCCTTTCTCGCGGACACACGAACCAACCATTGAGGAGGAGACTACCGCTCTCATGAGAGCCGCTTTCACCAAGATCCGCGAGAACTGCTATGACGACGCAGACGTAATCCTTCATCGCATCCTTCGACGTCTGGCGGATACCTCACAGACTAACCGACTAAGTCCCACCGAATACGCCGGCCGTCGAGCTCGAATCTTCAGTGAATTAGCTAATCTCCGTTTGCTCCAACGCAACTACCTGGACGCTGAGAAACTCTTTGTTGAGACCATCCGCTCCTCCCTCGCCGCCGGGATGGATCCCAAAGATGCCTGCATTGTGGAACTCTCCCTCAAACTGGCCCTCCTGTACTCGAAACTAGGCGACTTTGATAAAGCCTCAACGGGCTTCCAGTTCTGTTTCGACACTCAAATGACAAATGCATCACAGGACCTTAACCCTGGCTCCGACCTAAACGAGAAGCAGATCAACGATGTCGCTTTGCTAGGCCTCGTTTCCAATGCTTACGCACAGTAGGTGCATCAATATGTTCCGTGCCGTTTACTTGCGTCAGTTTCCTTATTCAGAAGGGTGATTTAAAGGAGGCTCGAGAGAAGCTTCAAGTCGCGCTTAAATCAGCCCGTAGGATCTACCCCTCACATCATGAAAACTGCTTAAATCTCCATGCCGATTTGGCCAATGTTGAGAGTCGAATCGGCAACGTTAGCGACGCCTTGGAGAGTCTTCGAACGGTGATCGAGGAGGCTAGACGACAGCAGGCATCTACCCTTTCCCTCGTCCGTCTATTTTGCGCCGGAGCAGTGATTGAGGGTAATGAAGGAGAATTCGCCTCGGCAAAAAGGTGGTTGACTAGAGCTGATGAAGCCTCCTCCAAAATAGATAACCAGAAAGATCAGGGTGCTGCTATGGGGGAGATTCAATCTGTACGAGATATGATACACTCCTGGTGTCAAGAGGAAGAATCAATAAACGAAGAAAGGGGATGAACCAATCTTGTATTAAAATGCCTTATTTTCTTTCTTAAAAAGAGGGAATACATAGTTAAATTTCCACGAAGACAGCGGAGGAGTCGGGTTTTCGTAAGCGGTGGCGTTTCAAAGCCAAGTTGTAAGCGTTTTCGATGAGTATTCGCAGCCGGGGCTCGTGTTCTGATTCAACCGACGCAAGAATATCATTAATTGGTGGGAGAACGGCCTCGATGACTCCTGCAAGTGGGAAATGTCATCGGTTTTCCTATCAAGACTAATGAAGGCTTTTGAGTGTACTACTAACTTAAATCTAAGTAGGCAAGGACCTGCAACTTTTGAAATTCAAAGCAAAAGCCAGATAAGCACAAGAGGAACGCGTGTACAACAGTTAAGGATAAAATTTGCTGAACATTCGTTGATATCGAACGCCATCAGTTGGTCACTGCAGTGTCCGACTTTTTGCGTTTGGGCGTCTAGGTTTCGAAGCTCGGAATGCGAATTAACCGGTGCCTCTACTGTCATTTTCGAAAAAGGATTCCATCCTAGAACAAACTAAAGCAGTGTAGTGGAGACAGGAGCTTCAGAGAAAGCCAGTGCTTGAGATCGCAAGTGCTGCTGTGATTTAACCAATAGAGTCCTTCCACTTGGAAATGCATGGGTGAGAACAAAGGGGGCAGTGTTCCCTCCCCCTCCCCCAGAGTGTGCTACAAAGTATAAGATGTTACGAGCAGAGCTTCCGATTGACTAGGCCTGCCTGCTCCCGAAAAGGCTCTTAAACACTCGGTTTTTGCGAGTAGTTTTCATCCGCAATTATCCGGCAGGCGGGAAGGTAACATTGAACGGTTCTGTTCATGTACGCTCGAAAATGATGGAGCGGACCTTACGAAAACGACCAGTGAAGAACACTGTACTTATAGGCTGAAGCACATCGATATCCCATAATATAGGTACGGCGAGTTATTACCGAAGACTGCGCGACATTTTCCTGTCACCTGATAAAATTGGGCGAATATCGAGGTATTGGATAATTGTGGTCCAGTTTAAGCTACTGCGATAACATAGACAGTTTAAAGTACCGGCAATACCGCCGCTTCCACTGCCTAAGAAAGCTGAGGAGTTCAAAATCCATGAGTGCCATATCCCATCGTAGTATAATTTAGCTTACCGGCCAGCAGACAATGCTCAAGCAGAGCATAGAAGAAGCTGTGCTCGCACGCCTCATTGAAATCCCCACCCTCATCAGGCTTCTTCCACCTAAAAGGAAAATAAAACAGTGACGAGAAGAAATCTGACGAGAGAAACAGAGGGGGGGGGGGGAACGCACGAATCCACTTTCACTGCCTGCGCCCAGATCTCCTGCAAAAGTAGTTGTTGCTGCATTCCCATTGACGCAACCTCTGTCGCCCCCGTTTCGTCCAACTCTATAGCCAAGTAAGCCAGTCGAAGTGCCGCGGAGAAGGCGACGAGAAGATCCTCCCTCGCCGAATCCTGCGACGGCGATGTCACCCCCGAAACAAAGAGCTGGGCGAGTTCGGCAGCGGAGCAGACCGCGGCGTCTGCGTCTTTATGTGATGGCTTTAGTCGTAACCACTCCTCCTGGCAGAAAAAAATCGCATCTACTAAATTCAGTGCCATGGTGCTCTACCAATGTTTACGAGCCACTAGCTCTTCTATGCATTGGTAATAAGCCCGCCGCATGAGAATGCAAGATTCGGAATTAAAGACTCGCCTGAAGACGAAGCACCTCCAGATGCTTGTCAACGAGCCCGTGTGATGAGAGGTCATCGTTGTCGTTTTCGACAGCTCCACGTTGGCCGGCGGCGATGGACGAGAGTTTGGAGAGACTAAGCAGGGTGCGTCGACGACCAAGGGAGTTAGTCTCGCTTATGCCCGCAGCAAAAAGACCCTTCGATGCCTGAAAATAGGGTCAAAAATAAGCACTGGATAGACAAATGATTAGCAAAAGAAATAAAAAATACCTACTTTTCTATCTCTAATAAACAAACAAGCATCTTTTGCTTCTTTACCTGACCATAGCCTCTATTTCCAAGCTGATGAAGCCAAGCAAAATCCTTCGCCTCCTGCCGCTGCAGGAATCGACCAACACACGTCTCCACTGTTTGTCTCGCCCGTTTCACCGATGATGCACCGGGAGTGGCTCGAGGCGACGAGGTCAGGCGTTTTTGTTGTACCTCTGCCGCGTCTCTCACTCCCTCCGTCTCCCGCTGCTGCAGCATCATAAGCAGCGACTGAAGACGCGCCTTCTCGCCATGTAAGTAGTGCCACTGCCAAGAGGGAGATCACAAAATGGGAAACCATTATAGGGTGTCAATCAAGGAGAGACAAAAGCGGAGCCTACCTGGAGGGCGTAATCAGCCAGTCGGATATCCGAGGGACATCGGGAGAGTGCGTTCATGAGGCTAATATGGTGTTTTCCATCGTTAGTGCGTTTATCGAGGTGGTCAGAGATCTTAACCATCAACTCTTTATCGAGGAAGCGGATGGCTAGGTCCAAAGCAGCTTCAGGACGATTTATGCGCCAGGCTAAAGGGAAGACGACAAGCAAACAGCTCAGCAGAAATCGAATGTCGTACTACGGAATCATCACAATTTAACCGAACTGCTGAAATAAAGGGGAGGTAAAGTGGGAAAACACCAAACAACTGTCCACTCACCCACAGCGGAGATAAGCCGCGTCCTTAATTCTACGAACCATGCATCCAGGTCGACCGAGTGTCTGGGCCATTGGACAAGTTGTTGGACTACTTGGAGGAGGATGGTGGCCAACTCCACGCTACGACACGCACATTCCTGCTTCAGGGACCCACCATCCGCCAGCATACGGTCGGCGTCTCCGGACAGGATGGCAACCACCTCGACCAAAGCGTCAAACTACAACGTAAGTAAGTGTTAAGGCGACGGATAGACGTTGGAAAAGATAAACTCGCAAGCAAGCGAATATGCGGAGCGACGGAGACAGTTGGTGATAAAAGCAGAAAGGCAAGCACTCGGCTAAAGGTGTAGGGACAGGGATTTGATAAGACAGACGAACGGACGGACAAGCAGACACAGGGAAGGGGTTAGGCATGCAGGCAATCAGCAGAACAGGCGTAAATTGCACTTACAGCAGCAAGAAGTCGGTTGCGTACCGCATCGCTACTGGTGATCCAACAAAAGAGGTCGCAGCTAGGGGCGCCTTCAGCGTCGCCTGCAAAGGATCCTTTGGAGAGGATCGACTCAAGGGCGGGTATCAGCTTTTGTCTGTAGTCGAGGGTCTCGGAGAGACTATCCTAAATAAATGAAGTAAAATATTCCATTGGGCGAATACAAAGAGTTCGCCGATTTATCAAATGGAAGCAAGATGTTAACAACTTTTCTCTTCCAGGGAATCCTCATGTTCTACGTATCAGATTATCTCAAAAATTAGCCTGAAAGAAATGCTGGATACATTGTCTCCTCCCCAAATCAGCTGTGTTTAAGGAACTTGGACATTCAAATACAGTCCTGTCACTCACTGTCAGTAATTTTGCAGCACGAGCAACAAAATCGATGGGTTCCATAGGGTTAGTCAGGCAATTCTTGGCGTTCACAGCAAGGTGCTCGGCCAAATTGGCAATGAAATGGGGAACCAGGGTCACCTACAATAGCGACAAATGAAGTTACACGGTTGTTCCCAAGCGATGAAACTTCATTTCACCGTTAAATGGAAAAATCACTTTGATTCGTCGTTCCAGATCATATGAAAGTGAGGCAGGTGAGAAGAGAGTGGGGTGTTTTGGGTTTGATTTCCGCGACAATGACCTAAGCCATGATACCGATAGCCAGGCCCTGGGTGGATTTATACTGAAACTACTTCTAGACTCGCACGTTACAGCGTCTAGGGCCGACTAGAGCGGTGGGGCCCAGTTTGACAATACTTCACACCAAAGGCTAGAAAATTTACTGTTTAATAAAACCCTGAACAAATAACATTTACTTCACTGATTCATGACTTTTGCGGATCAATCTTATCCAAACGGGTGCCCAGGAAGTCACTTGAAAAATGAAAACACAGAGATTACCAAGATTACTTGAACATAGAGGCGAATAAATGGCATTAACTTACGGTTTGGAAGAAAATATCCTCCGAAGAGAGAAGGCTATGGGCATCACCTTCACGAACCACACCTGCCAGCGCCGCCGCTTCCACAGTACCCTTGAACACGGGGCGTAGAAGAGAACTTTGTTTCAGTCTGGAAGTAAAAAAGTGAGCAATTAATGATGGGACCTATTCCTTGTTCTTTTAACCATTGCCATAGTACAACATAGTGACCGCATTTTATTGTCAATTCAATTGAAGCTCGAATAATCAACGGTTCAAGAAGTCTCCAAAAAAGCAGCCGTATAGATGATAGATGTAAGTCACTCCAAAATCAGAAATTTCAAACCTACTGACCAACTTGACCTACCCTCTCCATCGGGCGTGAAGTGCACGCGCACATTCACAGACCTCCGCGCCAGCTAGGAAAGCATTGAGCACGTGGTGACGACGTTGGTGGAATAAGTTCACCTCCTCGCCGGCCGGGAGGGGAGAAAAAATCTCCGTCAACACTGCCGAGGCATCGATTAGTCCACTACCACCAGCGTCAATACCATTGGAGGCCAAGGCGGTTATCACTTTGGGCCAGAAACGTCTACCTAGACACTGCATGGCCTGTTGTTTCGCTGTGAACCGCGAGTCCCCAGTGCGAGCGAAATCGAAGACGAGGACACTATTCGCAGCCACTCCACGCCAACGAGCGTCGGATCCGCTGGCTGGACGGCAGTTGAGGATGAGACGTGTGAGACGTAGAATAACAATGGCAGTGGCGGATATGAGTTGACTCCGACGAGGTATAGCGAATAGGGAGGTGATCAAGTTCTCCGCTTCCTCCTCAAATCCCATCCAGAGAATCGCAGCAATTCTGGAGAGGGCTTCCAACAGTTGATTGGAATCAATACCTAATGAGGTGGTTCTGAAGAACAAGGAGAAGCTGCATTAGACACATTTTAATGCATAGGAGATAAAACTACAATCATTACCTAGCGAGTTGGTCGATGAAAGGACGAGAGTCGAGGGTAGATAGACAGGGATCCTCTCCGACAACGGCATAGATACCGCGTTGGCGTGTGACAAAAAGGAAGAGCGCGGTACTATTTGGCGGGGCACTGATTACCCCTAGTAAAGACGAAGTCTGCTCAAATTCTATCTGGCTTACACAGTGACCCGTCAGAGCTAGAAGGGGAAAGGTATGACTAGTATATGCCTGCTCGATCACTTGTTGAAGTATTTGTTCAGCAAGTCGCCAAAGCATTCACTTAATCATGGTCCATTTACTCACCCACTTACTCTGCTTTATCTATCACCCATCCACCTATCTCCAGCTATCAATCGCGTCATTCAATCAATCAACTGTCCGTTTAATTATCCACCCATCCATTTATCCCACCGACTACCTCTTCATTTATTCCCCAATACATCCATTCAACTACTCATCAATTGACTTTTTGACCCACTAGCCCATTCACTTGTTCAGTGACTCACTCAGAGGTTATTAATCTCACCTTCCACGATGTGAACGACCCCAGTATCCCGTGACACCAAAGCCAAGAGGATGCATGGATAGGCATGCACGCCAGGGAGCGAAGCAATCAACTGGAAGTCGGAAGATCCAGCCTCCACAGAGAATGAAGTTGATGGGGGCAGTTTCTTGCCCTTCATCTCATCTTTAACATCCATCGAGAGGAGACAGAGTGTCCCCCTTTCAGAGGGAGATTTGTGAAGGAGCCACAACACAGGAGAGGAGAGAGATGAGAAGGTCATATCCACAGCCTCACCGTATCTCGCGTTGTTGAGTTCTAGACTAAAGAGAAGCTATGGGAAGGAAAACAGAGCATTAAAATAATGACACTGAAGGGGAGGCAGCAAGGGATAAGCCTACCGAATGCTCGAAGTCGGCATCAACGAGCCAAACCGCGAGACGAGCCTGCGTAAGAAGGATCATGTGACAGGAATTCTGTGATTCAGCGGCCACAAGAAAGCGGAGGACCTTCTACAAAAACCAGAAAATTATGGTCGAAACTACACAAGTATTGAAAATCTCCATTCGTCTAGCAGAATTTCTATCTAAGTCGACAGGACGTATGACTACTAATAAAAGAAGGAGCCTTCTCAGTGTGATGGAGAATCATCCACGCTGCTTGTGACTTCCCGAGCAGAACAACAATCAAAGGAAGCTTCTAATACGACATTCAAAACAAACTGGAGTCTACAGTTTCGTGGAATTTTGATACCTATTCTCTTAGTCTAATAGTTCTGAATGGCAATAATAAAGCCATTTCCAGACCTACATTCTCTATGATGCCTTAAGGGCTTTGACTCAGGGACTAAACATTCATTTGAGGAACAGAAAAGTCGACAGATTGACGTAGAGACGAATATAACTCACTCCAGTGGGGGAGGTTGCTGGGGCGGCACCAGCACCGGTAATGGTGAAACCAGGGACCTTGCTTGTAGCGTAAGACCAGATGGAGGAGACCCGACGACTCAGTCCTGAGAGAAGGCTAGTGTTGCTCTCTTCTGGACCGATTTGAATTGAGCTCGGAAAAGTGTCAACAGTGTTGCTGCCGTCGGTAATAAGGAAGATGAAAACACGATCCTCTGGGGTCCTTGCATCCACACCAAAAATACGACCAAGATTGGTGGCCAGGAGGAACGTGGCCGACTGAAAGAAAGACGTCTGTAAATCAGTAAGCCACTCCTGAATTAATCGGAAATCTTCATATTGAATGAATACGCAAATAGTTCGGGCTGAGAGTGGAAAACCTCAAATTAACCACATTATAGACGCAAAGACGCTAGAATGAAGACATGAATAAAAAGTGGGACAATGAGGCATACATAGGGGCCCTCTTCCATCGTTACACACACTTCACCGGCCTTCAGTACATTTAGCCGAGTGTCGAGGAAGTCGTGTACAACCTGTGACCGCCCCACGACCCCAAAAACGCCACGTGGCCAGATACGAAGGACACCAGCCACCGCGGCCGCACAGAGGCGGGGCCGACCATCGCCTTCAAAGCAGGAGATCGACACTGACATTGCTGCCGACGATGTGTCTGCCATCAATGGCAACTCAAACTGGTGGCAGGCCGATGATGTGACAACCTGGTTGGTGGAAAAGAATATGGGACCCTAAACATTTTACCAACCCAGAAATGTCACTGAAATTACAAATCTCACTGGGGTGATATTTGTTTTCATGATACATTTAATTTAGCGGTATACAAAGGAGTCGCAGCCATCAAAAGTTGCATTAGCACGGGGCGTTTGCGCAACGCTTTCTAAATGACTCTAATCCGTACAATAAAATGAATTGATCCAAGGATTAAGCCTCAGATACCTTGGTGTCCTTTGATTCCGTGTGGCGCCAAAGGAACAGATTTCCATCTGTCACAACTCCGATCCAATCATGGGCAAACAGTCTCACACTAGCATCTACAGAAGCCACAAGCAGAATGACAAAACAGAATCTGGAGGGACAGATAACGTTGAACTTATGTTGCTAAAAATCCACCTGCACCGGAAGCGAGAAGAGAATCAGTGAGAAAAGTGGGTAGCGTGGCAACCAAATTCCGAACATTTAATAAAGCCCGTGAATTTGAAGTGTAAGTGAACGTTCCTTCACGAGTGGATGCGAAAGAGGATTCCACGGAAGCCTGCATGAAGAAAACAGAAGTCATAACCACTATCTTGAATACAATATCGGTCAAACCAACTTCCACAAACAAGGACCATAAACCATGAGTCTGAGCGGAAAAAACTAAGAAATGAGTGAAATCGCAACCTAGATGCAGAAGTTTTACAAAGAATAAACGTAAACTTTTAAAAACCACACAAAGATGCAGAGGGAAAACACTTTAAGTATATGTAGTTGGAAAGTTCACAGTAATTAGATCACAGGAAGCAACGGCCAAGCAAATTACACCTGCTGGTCAGGCAAAAGCATTTGAAAGCAAAGGAAACCAAAAATATGTAAGAAACAGACAAGTAAGGTCTACACTGCAGCAACGACTATCCAATGAAAAGCCAGCCTTGACAACTTAACAGTATTTAAATGATCATGGAAAAGAGGAATAGTAAAGTCTTCATCTTCTAGCAACGCATTTGCATTGACTATGTCTTCAGAGCCTAAAAAATTCGCTTTTTATTTTATTAAAAAACTAGGCAAGAGTTTGATAAAAGTTTAACGGTTGCTGGAAATGGTCCTAGTTCCTTAAAAAGTGCCATTTACATGTTTTAGCTAACTATCTGCAGGCAAAAAATATCGTGTTTTACGAGATTTGACGTTACGCACCACATATAAGCAGTCCAGTCAACGTCGATGTATTCCGAAACATGTCGGTAACACCTTACTAAAAAATGATGACAATGTTATTTGTGACATGGCATTTGTACTGGAATAAGATGCTGGTTCGGAAAAAGAACCTAAGCTACTTATACGTATAAACAAGAAAGATAGTTGACCTTGACATCTCAAAGGTTAAGCCATGTCGTCTTTCTGGGTACTTGTGACCATGCGATGAGTGGTTCTGATTGGGAGAATCTCCTTCTGCAAAAAGCCGAATTGGTGTTGATTCAGGCCTCGTACCCGGACTTATTGCTATCAGTTGAAGGTCTAACAGATCTTGTATGAGCTATTCTGATTCATCACATGGGTTTCTAGAAACCAGTCGAGAATAAGGACGATATTCCGGATTCCGTTTTCCCTTTAAGACTTGCATTTCATTTAAACGCACCGGTAAATGAGGAGCTCGATGAAATCAATATGCCCCTTCCTTCCCCACAGTTGGACTTGTTGATAACTTGTAGCACAAATTACCCAAAAGTGTAGGTGCCTAGTTCCACTTTGTTGCTGATCATCTACCTATAATTCTGTTGTAAATCTCGCTCATACGTAGTCAATTTCCTATGTACTTGTTGTTTATAGGTTTTACGACTGCCACATTTTCTAAAAGTTGTTTTAAATTTTTGGAGTTGACATTTTTGTTCGTTTTAAATTAATGTTGCGCGTGCCGATATCCCCAACGGTGTAACTCTTCTAGAAACACTTGATGTCAGTGTTCACAACTAAAATATTACCTGTAAACGTTTTAGCTTCTATATAATTCCTTGTATAGCGGTCCCACTGTTGCAATTAAGAATGCTCGAGACATAAGCGTGCGAAGACAAAACCGTCTTTTGGAGTGTCTCAAGGCTATGACGGCAGAAAACCTCACAACCGTGAGTTGCACTCTCCTAACTTGCTTTTGTGCGTGTTCGCCTGGTCTTTGTTACTTGTGCCTCTCATATTGTTGCTTATTCAAAGTGCGGCTAAGCGTTTTGCACAGCTCAACCTTAGAGGCTTTGTGTACTTCTCCAGTTTTAAATTCGATCACAACTTTTCCTTAAAATTAATTTGTTGTAGCATTCCGTGTTTTCGCTGATCTCATTTGTGCGCGACTGTCTCGCAGATATTCGAGAGCAGGTGCCGAAAAAACGTCTTGCTGAGCTAGAGGCCGCTATCGCTCAAGAGGAGAAAGAGATGCGACTTGAGGTATGGCTCTGCTTTTTTCCTTAATAATACACTTGCCCTTTCTCGTGTTTTCAGTCAAAGCGTATCAGGTCTGCGCTGGTGCATAGGAAAGCCCTTTTGCAGGTGAGTTTATTTGAATTTAGTTCTTGGTCTGGGGTCACATTTTTGTCATCCCTCCTGTCTTCATTCCTTTTTAGATGAGCCCTTCTTTGGATACCGCAGAGATTGCCGCCGTATCGGAGAGGTATGTGCTGTTGCTTCATTCTCATTCATGTTTCAACCTCTTCCTTTCAGCGAAACCTGTCACAGTACTAGCAATGCTGCCCACCTTCATGCCTGTCCACTTACGTATCACACAGGTGTGCAGCGACTAACCTTTCCCCACCCTCGCATCACCTCTTCCCCCTCCCGATCGCCAGTACCCGTGTCCGAAGAATTGAGTATATCGCTGTCGCGGCGCAAAACGCGACCCACGGAACCGCCTCCATTGCGCATCCTGCGTGGCCAGTGTGTTGATGGACCACACCAGCCCTCGTGAGTCAAATATGTGATGTTAGCTCTTTTCCCGACCATTAACATTTTTAAAAGATAGCTTCCTATAAAACACACACATAAGGTAGCGTAAGGTAGGTGTCCTACTGCAGTGTTATGTCCCGTCGTCTACCAGTTTAGTAAAACCTGAGCAGATACTTTTGAATCAACGTTCTGTGAGTTAAATAGCAAACGAGGGGATAGGCTGGCTTCTTTATTAAAAAAGCCTGTTTTTCCATTCTGCTGTTGCTGTCGGTTACTGGAGCCAAACGATGGAGCTATAATTGACGATGCCCCTGCCAATTGCATCGGAAAGGTGCAGTGGTTTATGGCTTGTTATTTTTTGAAGTTTGCGAGCAACGACTCATTCGATGTTTAATTGTATCACTGGAAGATATTAGTCTCTAATGATCACATAAAGGTGGAGCTATAATTTTTTGTTGACAAGATTGACCTACTTCCGAATTTGGTTTCTCTCAATCAAGCAGTGATGCTTCTGAAAGCGGGTGGATAAAGGTTTTGTTAGCTTGCTTGGCTTTCGGCTAATTCGCTCGCTCCAATCGGTTGGCGAGGCTATCTCATGGAACTCTGATACGCTATACTTTGCCTGGGCGCGTTTGAAATTGAAACGGTTACTTATGTATGCTGCTAATTTGGTGTATTGAAGTGCTTCGCCATCTTTAGACCGTTAAAGGCGGCACATGCATATAGGCGAATTTCAAAGAGATGAATTATCCCTACCGCTCATTGGTTTAGTTCATGTAACCGGACTCTGGCTTCACTGGATTGTTTTAATCCGTTCACTGTTGTTACCGTGGTAGCTGTGCCTTTTGGCAGCTTATAACTACCCACACCTTTGACTTTAATTTGAACTTCTCGCATAATTGATGGATTTTTTAGGGTAGAATCACAACCTGGGAAGGAATTATGTTCCTTTAAAACATGAAACACACTGCGGGCGTGCATTCATTATCCATGCTCAAATTTTGCCAAATACTTTGGCACAAGTGCACTGAAGGGCTGCTAGCTACGAGGGGAAAATTCCTCTCCCACTAATGCGTTTGAAAAACAATTCCCGTGATTTTAAAAGCCAAATATCATTCGCTTTCTCAAATCAGCCGTTGTGGAAATATTCCCCCTAAACTTTAGCTATGCTTAAAAAATTGGATAACTTTTCTCTCACCTGAGTTTCGAGGTGTTTGCTTTTGAGAGGCGATAATGGCAAGCCATAGGCAGTATTATAAAACCCTACAGGGAGAAGTAATGTCGAATGTCGAGTTCTCAATGTTGCTTACCCCTTTTATCCACTCGCGCTTCGCGCTTGGGTCACCTTTAAACATGGACGTAAAATGAATGGTAGATATCATATTCCAAAGCCCCCTACTCCTTAAGAAGCTCTGCCATTTATTCATTTGACATACTATCGGAGACACTCATGCCAAAAATTTTGCAAATTTTTGATTATCATACACACAGCCTCCCCATGGCTCCGGGTCCACGATTTGCCTACCGAGCCAAGTTCCTCGCCTTCAACGAGATCACTGGGGACGAGCTCCAACTCCGTGAGTGGGTCTTTAGGGCCCTTCCGTCGATGTCGCAGCTTTACAGCCTGCGATTTCTACTGATCTCGCGATTCAAACATCTCATGCGCATTTCTCTCCCACCCTTCCTCCTCCCGTTGCGTGGGTTCACCTTCGACGTGGAACAGGGTATGGCGCAGCCCTACCTTTTTGTTTTTGACCCCTGGGGCGCTATATTTCTAGGACATTCTCTACCCTCGCCACGTGTGATTTGAGGATTTCCCAAGGCTAAGCTTTGCGTCAAGAGAGAAAGAGGTTTTATGAGTGCCTTGCTAGAAAAATGATGATAAGGGTATTTAGCATCATCACCACAACCCGGAAGTGTAGACTGTTGGTTATCAGTGGATGTGATCTCAGTGACATTTGCAGACCGCCTGAACTCTGCCTATATCCTTCTCACAGGAGCTACTGCTAATGCATTATTAAATGCTTTACACTAATAGAATTCTTCCTCGATATTCATGCCAATCCTGATAGTCTTTTCATGAGGTCCCCAAATTTGATCATCCGAAAATCCTCTTTCTGGGTGATGGGTGGGGGTTAGGGGATCAGTCAATATATTGGTTATATGAGGGATGTGAGAAGAAGCCGAATCTTACTGAAAAACATGTGATTTCTGACTCCCTCTCCTGGTCCCTAACCATCTCCAGCTTTAATGCATTGTATAGCAATTACATGGGCATGTAGTAGTCTGTAGCGATTTTTACGATGTTTTTTGGGCCAGCCTATCGGCGTAGTTAGCGTCTAGGGCGAGGAGAAGGGTACAAATGTCACATTCCGAGTTACTCTTGTGGCATTAGTTCAGAACGCACTGCTAAGCAATAATAAGTTGTTTACCACGTCTTCAAATCTTTCTATTAAATTAGAAAAAAGGGGCTTTTGTTTCCTTTTTATTTAGAAATAAGGTATCGCCAGTCCACATTCTATTCGAGCATGAAGATGCTGCAAGAGGAAAATGATATTTAGCGCCCCTAATTCAGTGGATTTGGGGTCCTTTCTTTTTTGTGGTAATTTTTCACAAAAAATGTTTATGGTGCTGTACCAATCTCGATGTTTCTCTCTTCCACCTCTGCCTTCATACCCTTAAAACAGGTAGATGAGTTGGACCCGAGTAGCCATAAGTAAAGGAGTTCAGGGTATGTTTCCACTGCGTCGGGGACCGATGGCGTCTCGCCTAAAAAATACACTCAAACAAGCATGCCCTACGGTGCTCCTTCAGGTTAACCAATGGGTCTTCTTGCTAGCTTTTAATGCTAAATCTCTCCATTTAAGTGAAAGGATATCTTTTAGCTCTAGATTCGTTTTATTTGTTTTGCTTTACTTTCTCAAGGTTGTGCATGCTAAACAATTTACTTTTGCTTCTTTCGGGAACCGATGTATGCGATCTCACTTATTTCTGCTGCCTGATGGAATTTATACTTAAGTGGTTGGATAGAACACGCATTTCTAATGAACAGAAGGGTTTGAGTGTCAATGGCATGGTCCGGAGGTCAGATCGTCCGGCACGGTTGCAATAGTGTAGCTCCTAAGTGGCCCGTTACCAAAACTGGGCTATGCAAACAATTACCAAATACCAATGCCACCAAAATGGGAGACATTTTTAGCTTGTGTATTAATTTTGCAAAACCTGAGCTAAACGAAAATATAACCAAGGGGAATAGAGTTGTCCGTGATACGGCTATCGAAACTTGCGCAGAATATCCCATATAAATAAAGCAGCACATTTCTGCTTGTTGACGCTGAGTCCATATATCATTACCATCCTAGATGTTTTCTGTATTCTCAGGAGCTCACACTATTTCCCATTCGTTTCTGCAACTCTTTCTTACTGCATCTATTTGACCACTCCCAAAATCCTTTAACAAGTTAGGTCTCGAAGTGTTGGGTCGGGATAATTTTGGGGTACCATGGTCATATTAGGCTAGCCTAATATTGAGAACTACGGATGCACTTTGAGGAGCATTCTTGGTCTCGAATACTGTTTATTGTGCCATTCTGTGAAGTAATTAACTTGAGGATGCTTAGAAAAACTTGCACGCCGACAAATCAACATTTCCATCAGGCCCTCATTGCAACCGATGTAGGTAAAAGAGGGCCATGTACAGCCTTTCTCTTGCAGGGACTTTTTTACGTTGGGTGTCTGCCTTTTGGCTTACTTGCGGTTTTAGGGATTAACCATTTATAAAACTCGTATTGGCCTTCCGTTGCTTTGTCAAACGAGGACTTTTTACCATTCATTGTAAAATCCTGTTCGATTCTCGTGAAGC